ACACTAGTCAGAAAGTATTTTAAAAAAATATAATCATATCACCTCATTTCATACCATAGACAGTTATATTTTCCGAAGGTTTAAAAGTTTTGTGTTGTGTACTGGTATATTTTGGTACAGAATCCTTAAATCCAATCCTTACTATGCACTAAATGTTATATTCAGTTCAGCTAAGTTTGTTGGTGCTCATCTTACCAAATCTTCCTTTTTAATAAATTGGAAATTTAGCAAAATGGTCTTATGTGTATATGATTTTTCTTCATAATAAGTTGTGTGTTAAATTAGCTCATCAAATGAGTCGCTGTAAAATGATAGTTATCTGTTTTCAGGTTGGAATTCATTATGGAATAACATCAGTTGTAGGGATGTTGGAAACGCAGGAGCATTGAACAGCTGTTTCGTCCAAGTATGGGACTCCTCTGCGGTGCGCACCCATGACTCCACCAGGGATAGAACCCAGAAACTTCAGGTTCCATGACTAGCACATTACCATTGAGCCACTGGATCGGAATCCAATACTCCCTATTTCCTACTTGTGTCAGTACACGATATGGTGCAACCTCCATCCAATGTTGTCGTTGAGTAACTGTCCTCATTTTCGAATTGGTTAACTCCACAGGTCACGACTTTTCATCGGGACTTCGGGAATCACTTTTAGAAGCTAGTCACCAATGAGCCCTAGATTAATTCAGTCCATGATGAATCCCAACCTTAAATCAATTAATAAATCTCTACAAACCTCCAGACTGAGGTATTTATCTATTTACAGTGTTGCGCATCTAGCATTTTGAAAGACATAATAGTGGAATAATTTTTACACATTGAGGCAGGGTAGCATCTACACCTTGCAGTATTTACATCTGAATAAAAGCTTATGAATTACCTTCAGAAACGATATTAAAAGTAAATGCTTGTGTCTAATTCACCAGATGGAAATCATCTGTTTATGTGGAACCGAGTCAGCAGTTAAATGTTTTATGTGCTAACCGATGGGTCACAGAAACTTTGTGAAGGTTTATACTGCTACCTAGTTATGAAATGAGGCTTGAAACAAGATATTGTTATTTGAAAGTCAATTGTTAAACTAATAATCTATGTCTTTACAAATGATCCAACGACCAGATAAATGTATTTTGTTTGTGTAATAGAGCCTGAATGTATCAGCTCCTGTTATTGAAAAATATTTAGTTTCCTGTCATGTTATAGGACTGATTCTAAAGAATTTATATTCAGTTATCTTTTTATCATTGAGAAAAAATAACTAAGCAGGATATTCGAAAAGGTTGTTCTCCTAATGTCCCAACTGATCAAATCATCCGTTCTTCACACTTTATGCTACTACCCGTTATTCGAAAAATCTATTAACTATCCCTTTCAATCTTTCCTGTTTTAAAATCAAAATTTTATACAAATGAACCAGGGTTTAGTTGGCACAATAACCAATGAGCAGTGGAAAACAAAAAAGTGAGCAAGAACTTTAAAAAAGACACAATAAGTTAAAAAAAAGTCGACAGGTACATAATGATTGAGCGTTTTAAATTCATGAAAAGGTAAAGAGTTATTGCAATTGAGCTATTTGCATTGTTTTTAGGCTGTCACTAAATACAACCAATCGATGACCAATGCTGCTATGTTTATCTCAGGTGCACAATCTGCTATTTGTTCACATCAATCAGAGCTACAATCTGTGGTTACGCCTGATGACTTGTTGATTTAAAATATATTTCACAGGTATGTTGCAAAACATATCAACTTGCAGCTCTTTGTATGCTCACTGCTTAGTGGTTAAACCAACGTAATCGTTATAAAGACTGGTCAGGTGACATCTTGTTCGCCACTAGCCTATCAGAACGTATTCGGTCAACAGTTGACGCTTTTAACATACTGCCTAAAGTTCGATGACGAGTGGACATAGGTGCATAACAAATGTAAAGGAATTTTCGGCTTTTGCCTAATGTCTTCATAAAATTGGATTTCACCAACATTTTTATGTGATATAGTAATGCCGGTTAGACAAAATGCATGTTCAATAAAAGCAGTATCTGAAAGTTCGTGTAAGAATCGAATATGCCTCACTTCTTAACGAAGTTAGTGTTGAAGACATCACCAAGCTTGGTAGTGAAACGTTCATGACATAATATCAAGCCCTAAGAACCCCCAAATCAACATCATCCTCATCCTGAGCTACAAATCGTTTCATCAATCAGGTTTCTTATAGAATGGTCAGTTTTTTTAGAATTTCAAAGACAGACACCTACTTCCTCAAGGACGTCTGTGACTCAATAACCTAAATAAAACAGGATGGAGTTGCTTTGAAATTTCATGGGGAGAGGACTTCTGGGTGAATTAGCTGAAAGTTTCTACTGCTCCGGAGAATAAATCCAGATCCAATTACACCCGAAGCGAATTCCCCAGTGAAATGACCAGAAACTGCATGCCATATTCCGCGGAATGATACTAACACATCATTCACAAGTACACCTTACCAAGAAAATGAACAGCTTTCTTCTCCGCAATACTGTTTACTCCGGAAGCTACCATCAGGGGCTTTCATCACAGTTACTAGGGCAAACTACAAAAAACAGTGGGATGATCTTGCGTGACATCATGGTTTTATCATACAGTTGAACTTCGCACAAAAATTGATCTCGAGCTCGAAATAGTAACAAGGATTCATCTGCTAGATCATTACCCTTGGACATAGTATTTATAATATTTAGTATGGTGACGTCAATTCGGTAATCGATAGAATTACGGTCCTCTATGACAAGAATGTCACTGCAGTCTGCACGGTGAAAGGTAGGACTATCAACCTACTGAAACGGTTTAGTTGCATTGGCTTGATAGCCTTCAGCTACAGATATGCGACTAACAATCAACAATAAAGGTGTTGCCAAATACTGCCATTTTCCGGAAATTTGGCTGGAATAGGCTGAAAAACCTATTATTTTCAGTCATACAAGGGTAACTTTAAAGGTTACCCTAGTAACTGACGAGATTCCAATTACATTCTTTTATTTGATGGAAAAGTACTTTCCCAGACGAAATACCGAAGCCTGATTAGTCATTTCAGCAGTTGCTAGGGTGGCTTTTAAAGCCACTCTCATATCGATCTTGGAAACTTGAATATTTGCAAAACTCCAACTATCACTGTCTAAACTCACTCATCTACAAGATGACATCAGAAAATCCTATAGATGAACATGGGTTTTTGGAGTGACTTCAAACACCACCTTAACAACAATCGAAATAACCAATTAGGTTTCTTCATTTCGGCTGCAAAGACAGATTTTCATAAAATAGAGAAATCTGATTAGTTATTTCAGTTGTTGTTAGGACAGCCTTTAAAGTCACTCCAGTTTTTTAAAAATTACCAATAGATTGGTTGGAAATCAGATATACAAGGTTTTTTTTAGTTCATACTGGTGTGATCGTTCTAGTATCTTATTGTACGCTTAAACCCGAATTGTGATCAAATCTGCAACGTTCCATATGGATCATGAAAAGCTCCAGTAATGTTGTACAGTTTTACGAGAGGAATGTTTAACTGCTGATTCATTGAGTTATTTGTTTTTATGAAAGCTATTTTTTGAGAAAATTAAATAACCAGATGCAGTCATAGCCTTTCATATAACTTAGAAACTGGTTTACTCATCACAAGCAAATGCATCAGAAAGAGAAAATCTAAGACTATTAAGCTTAGTTTCTTAATTTATTTGGTGGAATATCAGGCTACAAACCCACAAGTCATTAACTGTAACTTAGGCTTTCTTTCAACTTCAGTTAAGCGACCAAAGTAACCTCAGAAAGTGTAGTCGATTAAACATACAGAATTTAATGAAACATTTTGTCACTTACGATATATATATATATATATATATATATATATATATATATATATATATATATATATATATATATTGATCGGCTATTATCATAAATCTCCACCCAATAACTTTGGTTCATAGTCTAGTTCATAAACACACTCAATAGGTTAACTTGCATTGTATTCTTATTATGATAATTCTTATTGAGAGGTCTTTATCTGAAACTCTTCATTGGCTACTGAAGTTGAGTTGACAAAGCAATATTATTAGTTATTGCTTAATGGATGTTTCTCTTAGCTTAATGCATACATCTCCATTTAGATAATAAGTTGAATGTATAAAGCGCGAAACAAGTTTTCTACGTTCTGAAAAGTAATGTAAACTGTACGTTATATGTTGTTGCACTTCTTCTAAGTGCTTGTAGATAATTGATAAGTTCTTTTATCGATGACGAATATTGGTTGCTCTGGTGGATGCTTCTGATGTTTTTGCGTTTACTAAGCCGGTTAGCTTAATTGTTAAGCTTTGGCTTTTTTTCTGTATGGTGTAAGCGCCAACTATAGAAAGGAGCAGGCTCTTAGAATTTCTTCATATATGACCACTTATTTTCGATATCCATTAGCATAAATTGATAATTAATCTATACTGTATGTCATTTTTCATTTAGATTTATGGAGACGATGCTGACCTTGAGTTAAATTAGGAAGACTTGTGGAACGTTAATAGAGCTAACTCTAGTGGTGATAGAGAACTTTTTGAAGTTTTGTACTCAAATCACTGTGTTTGTAATAGACATGTTGATATTAACCCGATCTACTGATCAGTGAAAAAATTCAAATAAATGAACACTATTTGTTATTTAGTAACTCTGAAAAGCCATTGGTTAAACTATGAGCTACGTTTATTGTTTGAAGACTAACTGCCGAAATCTCATTGAATGTAGTCAATTTCACACCTGTAAATTGCTAGTTGTAAATCTTATGCCTACTTACTTTTTTATAGGCTGTTATAAAATATGATAACTTGAACTAATATACTTTTCTGCCAGGTTTTATGTTGATTTGTGCACTTGTCTGTGCTTAAATCAGTTAACCATGATTTCACCTAATATTTGCTGCACAATTTCCAATTCATGATGGCTTCTTGTTCCCATTCTTTCTGTTTAAATATTAGCTCCTGATTTACAACAATTTGGTGTAACAACAATATCAAATATACCGGGTAATTCATCCAGCCTATGGGTGCACACAATATTTGCAATTGGATTTTTTCTTCTGGCATTCTGCTTGATGCAACATTTCTCTAGACAATTTCGCAGAGAATCGAACAGAACTATGAATTTTGTGAGTTGTTTTTTGAAGTTAATCACTTTTCTCAAATCACGTAATAGTCGAAATGCTCACTTCTCAGGTCTTATCAAACCTTTGTTACTGCTGTATCTAATAAATATACCAATTAGTATGAATCTACTTTGACGTTTCTTTTATCGTATTTATATAAGTTGTTACTCAATTCGATTGTTCGAATCCATCTTTTTCTTCTAGGAATATTTTTCACTGACTTGCACACTCGCTATGCACTGGCATTATTACTATTATTATTATTGGTCCCTTGGGTTCCAAATGGAACATAGGGCTTCAGTAACACGTCTTCAATGCGCTCTGTTCTCTGAAATCTTTTGAACCTAGCTCCAACACTGCCCACAAGCTTTCATTTCGTCCTTGCACGATCTCCTCCATGTAACCCTCGGCACCGACGCCCAACTTGTCGCTTCCCATCGGGATTCCACTTGAGGGTCTGACGCGTGATGTCCGTTTTAGGAAGGAAGAAGAAAGAAGATAAGGAATGGATCTCAATGGACACATGGAAGCTGATAGAGCAGGGAGAGGAGGATGGTAAAGGAGAAGATAAACCAGTGCAAGGATGCACAACGACAAGAGGAACTGAGTACAATGTATAAAACACTACACTGGACAAAGAAGTGAAGAAGAGTGCACGGAAAGACAAAAGGCACTTCTAGGAAACACTGTCAAGTGAAGCAGAACAGGCTGCTGGTAGGAGAGACAGAGACCTGACAACATTGTATCAAATAACCAGGTTACTATGTGGAAGGGAAGAGATCGACACAGATGAAACCAATAAAAGATGATGAAGGAAATATAGTTACGAAAGAAGAGAAACAAAGGAAACGATGAGTCGACCACTTGAAAAGGCTCTTGAATCGCCCACCACCTGCACTTCGTCTGGAAATACTAACTGCAGCTCAGCGACAGAACTACCAGTGATCACAAATCCTCCAACGAATGTGGAAGTCGTGAGGACTATAAAGCTACTGAAATGCGGGAAAGCAGCAGGACCAAATGGAATCTCGCTAGAAGCACTGAGAACAGATGCAGAGACAACAGCGGACATGCTGACACCACTATTTCAGAAGGTATGGAAGGAAGGTAAGGTGCCTGGCGATTGTAAGAGAGGTTACCTTGTCAAACTGCCGAAGAAGGGCGACGTGAGTGTTTGCAAGAACTGGGGCGGAATCATGCTCCTGTCCCTGGGAAGCAAGCGAAATATTAATCCGCATCATCTTTGAGAGACTAAAGGATGCAGTGGATTGAAAACTACGACCGGAACTGGCTATCTGGCTGGCTGGTTGGATTGAGGAAGTACAAATCATGTGTGGACCGAATTGCAAGGCTTTGCATCATCATAGAAGAGAGTATAGAATGGCAGTCAACTCAACTCTACCTGAACTTCACTAGCACCGGCATAGTGGGTTGTTAAATAATGAATTAGGGAAGTAGTTGTTTCGCTTGTCTGAATGTTCTTGAATTGTAGAAATAAATTAGTGGCCTTGATACTTTTAGGCATGGAATTCTGTGCTTAGTCAAAAGACGCGATTGTAAACATGCAGTAGTTTAGACGTTTAGGCTATTTGTTAGGCTTGATATGCAACTACCAATTTCAATATGCCTGAAATGAAACTAAGCGGATGAAAAAGTAGGATGGCATTTAATTTTAGTCCATCTAGTAATATTACTGCTAAATGGCTGCTACACTCTATTCGGGATGTATCCGAGTTTCAGGAACCTAAAGATCATTTCATTTAACTGTCTTTGAGCGAAATTGATGAAATGTGTTGTTAATTTGAAATGTCTTGACAAGTGGTAGCAATCAGTACTTTAATGCTTCCAATATCCAATAGCACTTTTTTTCATCCCTAACAACATCCGTATAACCCAAAATTTTAGCCAATAGGAGGGCATAATGTTTGACTCTAGAACGTAAGGATAAAATTCTACACCTTTTACTCTTTGGACTGAAACTGAAAATTTTATAAATTTTATTCCTGGTTAACTAGTTTACTAGTTACTAGCCGGTCCTAAGCCCGGGTAAAGAGGGAAGGTTGGGCATAGGGCTAGCAACCCTACCCCGTAAAACAAATCTAACCGCTAAAGAAACTTCAAAGCACAAACAAAATATAAAAAATGAAAACAAACTTATTCCCCGCTGGAATCGGAGAGGCGAAATGACGCCAGTTGGTGAAAGCCTTCGGGAAGCCAATTGGCCGATGTGTCTTCTCTCGATGAAAGCGAAAGTAAACGTGGGGACATGGAATGTCCGCACGATGTTTGAACCCAGTAAGGCAGCCCAGATTGCAAAGGAGATGAGAAGGTATAACATCGAAGTGCTTGGGATTTGCGAAAGCAGATGGAATGGGAGTGGACTCTCCAAACTGTCAACGGGAGAATCAATAATCTACTCCGGTCACCCAGACGCCAACCACGAGCACACTGAGGGAGTGGCTATCATGATGTCCTCAAGAGCATCGAAGGCTCTCATGCAGTGGGAACCAATCTCCTCCAGGATCATGTCAGCAAGATTCAACTCAAAAGGAAGAAAGGTCACAATCATACAATGTTATGCACCTACAAATAATGCAGAGCAAGAGAAAAAGGAGGAATTCTACAGACAACTTCAGTCAACACTGGACAAGACGTCAGTTGGCGATATCAAAATTCTAATGGGCGACATGAATGCCAAACTGGGAGGGGACAACACGGGAAGAGAACTAACCATGGGTCGAGAGGCGCTAGGTGAAATGAATGAGAATGGAGAATTGTTTGCAGAATTCTGTGCATTCAACGATTTGGTGATTGGAGGCAGTGTGTTCAGGCACAAGGATATCCACAAAGCGACATGGATTTCACCAGATGGACACACTAAAAACCAAATCGACTTTATCTCAATCTCAAGAAAATGGAGACGCAGTCTACTTAACACAAGGTCAAGAAGAGGAGCAGATGTAGGTTCAGACCACTATCTAGTGCAAGGAACCTTCGAAATCAAGTTAAAAGCCTTCAAGGAAGCTGGTGATAGACCTCAATTCAAGTACAACACTCGGAAACTGAAGGATGAAACTACAAAGGAGATCTTCAAAGCAGCCATCAAGACAAAATGGGAGACGTCGAGGGACATCCCTGAAGAAACCTGTGTAGAAGAACACTGGAAGTCTTTGAAAGCTATGTGGAAAGAAACCTGCACAACAGTATTAGGAAGGAAGAAGAAAGAAGACAAGGAATGGATCTCGACGGATACCTGGAAGCTGATAGAGGAGAGGAGGATGGTGAAGCAGAAGATAAACCAGTGCAAGGATGCTCAACGACAAGAGGAACTGAGCACAATGTATAAAACACTGGATAAAGAAGTGAAGAAGAGTGCACGCAAAGACAAACGACACTTCTACGACACACTGGCAAGTGAAGCAGAACAGGCTGCAGGTAAGAGAGACCTGACGACATTGTATCAAATAACCAGGTTGCTATCAGGGAAGAGACCAACACAGATGAAACCAATAAAAGATGAAGAAGGAAATTTAATTACAAAAGAAGAGAAACAGAGGAAACGATGGGCCGACCACTTCAAGAAGCTCTTGAATCGACCACCACCTGCACTTCGTCCAGAAATACCACCTGCAGCCGCTGAATTACAAGTGAACATAAATCCCCCAACGAAAATGGAAGTCCTGAACGCCATAAAGCTACTGAAATGCGGGAAAGCAGCAGGACCAGATGGAATACCGCCAGAAGCACTGAGAACAGATGCAGAGACAACAGCGGACATGCTCACACCACTATTGCAGAAGGTGTGGAGGGAAGAGAAGGTACCTGACGATTGGAAGAAGGGTTACCTTGTCAAACTGCCGAAGAAGGGAGACCTCAGTGCTTGCAAGAACTGGCGAGGAATCACTCTCCTATCCACCCCAAGTAAAATATTAAGCCGCATCATCCTGGAGAGGCTTAAAGACGCACTGGATTCAAAACTGCGACCGGAACAGGCAGGCTTCAGGAAGTACAAATCATGTGCTGACCAAATTGCAACGCTTCGTATCATCATAGAACAGAGCGTAGAATGGCAATCAGCTCTATACCTCAACTTCATCGACTTTGAGAAGGCCTTTGACAGCGTCGACCGAGAAGTAATTTGGAAACTGCTTCAATACTACGGAGTACCGCAAACCTTTATCCGCCTCATTCAACAACTATATGAAGATGCCACATGCCAAGTAATCCACAATGGGAAGCTCAGTGATGCCTTTGAAGTGAAGACAGGAGTGAAACAAGGTTGCCTACTATCCCCCATGATATTCCTAATTGTGGTGGACTGGATCATGCAGCAAACAGTAGGCAGCGAGAAGAGGGGGATACACTGGACGACGGAAAAGAACCTAGAAGACTTGGATTTCGCCGATGACTTATGCCTAATGTCACATAAACTTGAAGATCTGCAGGCAAAAACTAACAAGTTGACAGAAGAGGCAGGCAGCTAAGACGGGACTTCAGGTGAATATAGAGAAGACAGAAGTGATGAAGATACCGCACCACCACCATCAACAACAACAACAAACTCCAATCACCGTCAACGGTAGAAACTTGAAGGAAGTAACCTCCTTCACTTATCTAGGAAGCACTGTTTCAACTACAGGCGGGACGGACGAGGACGTCAAAGTCAGAATCGGAAAAGCAAGACAGGCATTCATTAGCCTGAAACCAGTGTGGAGATCTTCTGCACTCAGCATGCGGAACAAGATACGGATTTTCAACACCAACGTCAAGTCAGTGCTCTTGTATGGCTCAGAGACTTGGCGCGTCACGAAAGGCATTTCCAATAAACTACAGACATTCATCAACAACTGCTTACGCTCGCTGCTGAAGATCAGATGGCCAGAAAAAATAAGCAACAAGGAACTCTGGGAACGAACCAACCAAGAACCTATCACGCAACAAATATGCAGGAAGAAGTGGAGATGGATTGGGCATACACTGAGAAGGCCGACTGAGGACATCACGCGTCAGGCCCTCGAGTGGAATCCCCATGGGAAGCGACGAGTTGGACGTCCGAGGGTGACATGGAGGAGGTCGTGCGAGGAGGAAATGAGAGCTTCTGGGCTGTCGTGGAACCAGGTTCAAAAGATCTCAGAGAACAGAGGTCACTGGAGGCGTGCTACTGAAGCCCTATGTTCCACTAGGAACCCAAGGGACTAATAATAATAATAATAATTCCTGATTATCTTTATATTTCGTTGTATACTTTTTTAAGTACTAATATTGGATACAAAATGGTTTTGAGGAATTGTCTATGTAATTTTATGATTTGCAGTCAAACAATTTACTAACTGATGTTCTCTGAAGCCATTTGCTATACTCGACTTTTTGTTTGTTGTTTCGTCTTATTCATCATACTTTTAACATTTAACTCACAATGTGTTTCACGGTTTTGAGAAATAGTTTTGTTTTCCCTTCATTTTCACAGTCAGAGAAAACATTAATGATCTGGGGTATATCACGCGTAAACTGTTCTCGCGTACTCATTCTTAGGCATTTTTCGTAAGTAACAAAATGTTTCATTAAATTCTGTATGTTTAATCGACTACACTTTCTGAGGTTACTTTGGTCGCTTAACTGAAGTTGAAAGAAAGCCTAAGTTACAGTTAATGACTTGTGGGTTTGTAGCCTGATATTCCACCAAATAAATTAAGAAACTAAGCTTAATAGTCTTAGATTTTCTCTTTCTGATGCATTTGCTTGTGATGAGTAAACCAGTTTCTAAGTTATATGAAAGGCTATGACTGCATCTGGTTATTTAATTTTCTCAAAAAATAGCTTTCATAAAAACAAATAACTCAATGAATCAGCATTTAAACACCTCTTGTAATTCAGTTAGATTCAGATTAAGACAGGAAAACGTTGTTTGACAGCAATTAATGAAACCATTCATTCAGGGTGGCTGAGAAAAGTTGTTGATGATTAAATCAGTGATTATCGCAACTCAATTCAGTTAATGGTCAGAAACCTATTGGTTAAAAACTTGTGACATTTCCCCTTTTCTTTCAGCTCCTACCATAATCGCAAATGGCCCCAATGTTAGTAGGTGACTGGACATGTTATAGGTGAACGTTAGGTCAGTTGAGTAAATATTCACAGTCGTTATCTAGTAACTTTTCAGGTTACTGAAGTGCTTTATTAAATATCTGCATAATTGAGGAGAGTTGTCGCACGGTGAAAGTTTATTATCAGTTTGACAGGTGTTCAGTTACCTTTGAGTAACCTACTCTCCTGTAAAAGGTTGAATTAAGTATTAGCAACTGTGTTTCATTCGTAATGGTGGTTTAGGTAGACTGAAATAAATAACAATTGTATGTCAGTTACGCATAGTCATTTGCAATAGCTTGGAAGGTGTGTTTCAAATCACAATTAACGTCAAATATCATCTCGTAAGCTTTTTTTTTTGGAATATTCTGGAATCAGCAGACTTTTAATGTTTTACTGATGCTCCAGAATATAGAAGATGAACGAAATGTACATTTTTCAGGTACATTCGCAAGTATATAAAGTAGAAATTATCAGGTACTCGATTTAAGGACGGGTATAATTACTGATTTCTTCATACTACGCATGATGCTTATTTATGTTCACGAGCCGAACGGCTACAGGTAATTGATTCTCTGCGGGTTTGGTATTGATATTAGGAAAACATACGTGAATGAAAAAAGGGCGAATAAGATTTGCTTTTTTATGAGTACAATATATAGCAAGCTACTTCATTAGAGTAAGTCTATCAGATTATGACCGTTTCACTCTGCTTTTCCTAAGCAGAATATTGAGTCAAAGTGCAGTTTTATCAGTATGTTTGCCGAACCAAATTTAACGATTTCAATTCCAGATGCATTAAAAATGTTTGTCAAGTTTACATTTAATTATGCGTTTTAGTCTGTGTTATCACAAAAGTGATAAATTTTATCTCTGGATTTGTAATATTTGCATGCCTGTATATTCAAATACTTAAAGATTCGCATGACTAACACAGAGTGTAAATTATTCCATGTAAATTTCATAAAACCCACTTGTTTTATGTAGCTTTAGGCACTTTTTATAGATATTCATTACTGTGTTTTGCCTTATGGGTTAGTGTGGGATCTTATTTTCCGTAGAAAGGAAGCGGAATTCTATACTTCTACATAGGCATAACTCAACTACAAGCTACACTTCTTGTGTGAGTGCTCATAATATTACCATGAGTCCTTACTTTTAAGTGTGTTTTACTTTCAGCGCAATCTTAGTTATCCAGTACCAACAAACGTGTTGAATTATGGCGCTTCAAATTATTCACATTGAATTAAGAAAAAGTGACCTCATTTAAAGTCTTCGAATTTAATTTAGTTGATTCGAAAGTCACTCGGATCGTGTAACACATGATCGTCTTCACTTTACATATAAACTGTCTAGCTTTTAATCGGTACTAAATGAATGTCGTCTGCCATGCTTGTCAAACTACCAGTTCACGTCGAGAATTACTCAGATGAAGTTACTCTGTATTTCGAATGTCGGTTACATTCAACCAAACAGTTGTCTGAAGTGAAGTGATCTTCACAGTTATATATACGTGTACACCTTGCATACATTTTTACTGGTATACTTCTCCCAACTTTCACTTTAAAATCATATCTTCATTGAAAATATAACAATAAAAATAGGTAGTATAACGGCGCAACTCCATAGCTTATAGGATGTCCATGGGCTGGACTTTAAGCTACACGTTTGGTATTGGAGCTGACCATAATTCCTTACTGCCTAAATCTCAGTAAGCAAACTGTGTTTTCAACGCATGGCTTATTAGATAAAGTACAAGTGCTTAAGCCAAGTGAAAACATAAATAAATGCAAATTTCTGTCCCCTCATCGATAGTTGCTACCTTAACACGGTTTTCGAGCTTACATATCAAAATGAAGCAACAAGCTATTCTTGAGGTCCTGCGATGCTAGAAAAGTCCGTTGGTCAAGCAAAAGATAATGATCATCATAACGTATATAGCTAATCTGTATTGGGGATCCGAGGGTAAAGTCGCAGTGCTGACTGGACAAGGTGTGATAGTTCTTGCCGATAACCAGCAGTAAATTCTGATGCTGTCTTCCCTATTGGAAGTGTGGTCGAAAAGATACGGAAACAAAAGTATCACACTTCTCCCTGGCGTACGGTATACCAGAGTCACGCATACGTTTTCTAGATTTAAGGCAATAAAAGTCAAGTCTCCAACTCCCAAAAAGTCCATATGTAACTAGCCTCAAGGGAATGTCTTACGGACTGTGGTCGCACACAGAAAGTTCAGTTTCTCTTTGAAACCTCTCAAGAAAAAGTAACCTTACACAGTGTGAACTACCAGGAAATGTCAACTACCCTCACAATTCGATCAGTAGTCAAGTTCCGTCAGAACATAATCAAACTCTCATATCTGATATTTATCCACATCTGTCGGTCACTAATCTTATGTCATCTTTAATTCTCTCATCTCTGCCCCCTTGAGAAAGTTTCGAGTTCACAGAACAGGATCCTTGGTCTTGTGAAACTGCACTTCAAACTACACATTGATTCTTTCGTCGTACACACCTTCCATCAAGTCTATCAATACGATTCGTAACCGAAACTTTGGCATCTCAGGCTATGGATGTGGGCTGTTTGTGAGATACATATAGAGGACCCAAGCGTAATTATTCACTTGACCTAATCTGACCAATATGATGAATCTACACAATCCATCCTTCAAGTTTTTGGAGATTCGATTGCCAGTTCTCGTGGTCTTGCAAATGTAGATACAGCATTAAGTGCTAAGGAAGGGAGTACACCACTCGACTGGATCCCAGTTAACACTTCCTTATGCCCTGTCCGACTGAAAGGCATAATGAAAACTAAAAAGAGTAATGAAACACGGTTGTATCTTTGTAATCTTTGCTTATGCACCTGCTGACTGCAGCTCGAATGAAGGGGAAGATGAGTGTTGAAAAGTGTCCAACTTCCTACTGAAGACCAAACCTTTAGGCTCAATGGTCGTAGCAGGGGATTTCAGTCCACAAGTGGATACGCTAAGTCAGATGGAAAGGCACTTACACGGCACTATAGGAATTCCAGTTGCACATGTAGATAATGGTGACCACCTGCTACAAGTGTACTTGAAGAACCATATATTTCTGGCCAGGACGAAATTCAGCCAATGTCTGACGTGACCTTCTGATCTCAACTCAGTGATAGACACAGATACACCATATTATTATCATTTATCACTGGAGAGGGTCATTGGAAGATTTTTGCTCCTTCTAAAATACATATTTGGATAGCGATTACATGTATGTCTTCGCCTGAATGAACACGGGAAAACTATTGCAGCAGGACCACTGCGAATGCTACTTGACGATGAGAATATGAAGGCTGCTTTCAGCAAAGAACTGGTTATACGCTTATCATTATAGAACATCACTGGTGCAAAAGAAGCGCGATACCATCTCTAGTCTTTGTTAAAGACCATAACCAAATCTTAGAAAGTGGTTAGAGAGGGTTAATGGGTCACAGGTGCTTCTGAATTAGTGAATGCACGTAAACGCATTCCTGCAGACTTCGACCACTATGAGCAGAGGAAATAACTCAAATGTAGACTGACAAGAAGTCTGCGCAATGATGGCGAGCAGTTGTAGGTAGCGAAGGCTAAATATATGGAAAAGAGGATTGACCCTGTCACAGGAGACATCTTTGTGAAAGTAGAGTACGCAGATGACATTATCCTGTTAGATGAAGATGCTGACAAGATGCAGAGTCTTCTGGACACTCTGAACGATAATTTGGGACGCACTCCTCACCACCCACATACAAAGCTTTTGCTCCAGGATTTTTCTTCGGTGGTGTCTTCTTTAAAAATAGGGAGAAGAGCGGTTGAACACTGACCATTTCACTTACTTGTGGAGGTGGGCCAATTCCCATGCAATAGTGACTGACGATATCTCTGAGTAAATACAATAGGCTATCTCAGCTTTAGCCAACTCATATCATTTATGGCGCCACCGTGATATCTTAACGCTTTTATTAGGAGTTGGGTGTCCTGGGCTGTGATTCGCTGTGAAACAAGACCATTAAAGTTACAGGACATAAGAAGACTTCAGGTGTTCAACTGCCATCGCCTTCATAGCAATCTGCATGATAATCGAAATCGGAGACTAGGGAGTGTTGTTAAGGATCGACTGCGCTAGTGCAAGCATATCCACAGTTTGTCGTCATCGTAATCATTATATTAAGTTTCGTTATTGTTTTATCCCTTCTTACTCTCTTTTTGTGACTTTCAATTACTTTTGCATTTTGTCTTATTTCTTTATCTTTCACTTTGTTATCTTGTACCTTGATGTGCTGATGTGGTGGAGCAACTTGGACTGATATACACTGACCCCAGGTTTTATATTGAAATTGACTGACTGACTAATGAGTTAGAACATATATTGTCCTATGTTTTAGCTTTCCGAATCAGAGATTATAATTTTTGTCTTACGTTTTTGTTTGCTCATTCTTTTTTTCTTAAAAATAGGGAACTTTATCCTGACTGTTCCATTGAAGATGTTCAAATATGTTATGATATTCGAAAACTGATAACACTTGAAAATCAAAGGTAAGTTCTTTCTTATATTTCTTTTATCTAGACCGAGTAATTCGCTTAAAATCTGAAAAAAAATTACAGTCGATATGATGAGTAACGTTACTCACTTTTCATTCTCAAATCCTATCATTGTTGCATAGCAGTACTGAAAGACGCACCATGCAATCCTAGCTGTATATTAGTATCTTTTTCTATATTCGATGCATCATGTTGGTGAACACCGGCAATTGCATTTCTAGTTTTTCCTCTTGACAATTTGACTTTGGCATCAAACACATTATAGTGCATATTTGTTTGCATCTCCTTGTGACCAGATGTTATTTTATATATATATATATATATATATATATATATAAAGAGAGTGAGAGAGAATTTATACATTGTTGCGCGAAATGCTTTCTACATCTCAGACTCAGTACACTTCTTTGGAACTTCTCTTAACTGACATTTATTTAGGCAAATTTATTATTTTGATTTCCTGCTAATTTGATTGGATTTCAGTTACTCTGATGTAAAATAAGTAGAATATATCAGTATCCTGCATGCAGATAAAGCAGGTTTAGTTTTAACTGTTAAATGAATATTTCGTGTTACATAATTAGCCAGCATATGAAGCCAAGAGCTTATTGTAAAGTGAAAATGATACTTTAAAAGTTAATCGTGAAGTAAACAAATGGACCTATGACCTTGCATAGAAGCGCATCATTTCAAGTTGTCACACACCATAACAACACAAAGAGGAAGTGAATAAAATCGTACTAAAGTAATCAAAAGCAGATGACAAGAGAGACGATAAATAGTTGGTCAGTAAAATATTTTTAAGTTTGGGAGGTCATTGGGCATGTTCTGATATACACCATTGTGAGTGATTTTTAGCCGTGTCACCGAATCTCCAAACATTGATTTTCATCATGTTGCGAACCTCAGTCACCTTATTAGTCTACACCTCTTCTCATACAACTTGGATTATATTTAAGTGTTTCCAGGGTCCAAGCAATATCTGGTTAGAGGCGCTCGCATACGGTGTTGTAAGGTTGTTAAAGTTTGTAGAGTTGGGTGTATACATAAAGAACTTCACCATCGGTGATGAAAAGCTGTAACACATTTTGATCTCAAAGTATGGTGTATTTTTTTGATTGTGATAACAATTGTAATCTTAGGAACTCTGCAGCTGAAGAAGAACAATTTGTTGCCGCATATGAAGGCTTTCATATTCGATATAACCGTGGATAGCTGTTCAGATGAAAGTAGGCAAAACAGAGTTTAACAGGGGAATGCATGGCATAACCTCCCATCCAAATGGTGTATAATAATGTTACATGACCGTTTCGTGCTGACAATTTATCTAAATTTAAGTAGTAAACTGGCTATCTAGGTTATCACTAGTTACTTAAAAAAGTTTTGTTGGCCATCATTCAATCGTATAATTAATAGTTTAGGAACAGTTTCCTTTACTTCCGATCTATATTTACAGTGTTTAAATGATGTCATTATTAATATCTCTGTTACTACACTTGATATTTAAGGGATAGTCTGAGAACTGCACTACAATATTCTAGAGAATGTTATGAACAAAGAGGTCGGCGTTTAATCATCATTCCCCGCTGTTGTGGATGGATGGTTAAGAAATGTTATAAAAATAATTGTTGTCGACGTTGTTGTTGGCGTGGAAGTGCTGTTGAAACAAATCCTCCGTTTGCATATTCATCCACTGATAGTCCCACCCCATGGTCAGAGACAACAGACAGTGAGATGGCTTCTGAAAGTTGTTGTCTTTGTTGTAAATGCCCACCAGCAGTGGATGCAATCGATTATTATACAAGTCGTAAAAATCATATTCAACAAGAAATAGATAAACAGTATGAAACTGCAGTGAAAACACCGATTGGCATTGCATTTGTAACTTTTTCTACAAAATATGCCGCTGCACGGTAAGTGTATGTGTATATATGATATAACTTGAAATCTATGCGTAGTGTATTTTGTAAAATAATATTGGTTCACCTCAATATTGTCTAAAAAGTCTTACCTGTGCTTAAACTGGTTCTTCAAACTGGTCGTTGGTAAACACAATTGTCATTGATTACAAAGTGTTTTGTGAGGGATGGATGCGCGTGGATGAATATTGAAGGTGTTGGTATCACTCTTTGACTTCTACAATTGTGAGGTCGATGTGATATCTATATAACTGAACCAGTGTGTAATTTAACAAAGTAATATTTTACTTCTACTTGCCTTAATTATCACTAGAATACAAGAACCAGAAGTTGAAAGCATTTTTTTCTTGATACAAATTTAAAACAAGCAGTGAATGTGAAAAAGCAGGCTTCAATAAATTCATGTAAGATCTTTGTTCCGATGTACTACAAAAGAAATGTAGTCAAAACGCTGTTCAATAAGCCCATTGAAATCTGTTTTATAGGTCCAGTTGATCATGAAAAAAGGATTTTGAAAAGCATCCTAGTTAAAAATGGATTACTACAAAGCTTTACCAAGAACCATGGAAAATGAGTAGGAAGTGAAATAGTGTACCGAAAATTCCACTTTATATCCCCCTTACCATTTAAAGGTGAAGACGTGCTAAATGTAGTTAGTTGAAGACTGGAGAAGTTCATCAGAACGACAAATTATGCTGCAAAACATTTTATACAAAGAATAACTAATTTGCAGATACAGTTGTTTCTCACTGCACTCTATGCAAAAATTAATATTTTCCCCAAAGAGATACAGCTTTTCAATCAGCTGATTACTTTCTTTTGTTATTTGTTTCCACTTGAAATGACTTAATCAGTTTCTTCAATTATTTAGTTAATTATCAGTTAATCAAACTGCCTTTGTAGTATTTTCACTAAAAGTATCAGACAATTACTTTGCATGTACACATAGATAGATGCAAAACTCCATATTGATTCAATTCTCTAGACTTCACATGTACAGGAAAGTCAACAAAATGGAAAGCGAAAGTCGTTAAACGCTGTCAGCAAATATAGTATAAGATGTGGAGTGCACGCAAAACATTACGATCGATTTGAATTATATCACCTAGTCACCAACGATCGATTTCATTTGTTTGACGAACTCTAATTATAATGCCCTTTCTTTTTCATATGATTCAGATATGGAATTGGAGGCAGCATCGATTGGCTTGGGTTACCTTAGCCTTTTTACCAACTTAATTGTACGCCGGTTATTACAACACGTCAGCCTTCAGAGGTCTTTGATTTATACTTTTTATGACAATACTACTTGTGTTATTGATTGCAGAATAATAAATAGGTTATTCAGCATTAATTCCTAGGCCGTTTCTTTATGTTGGGGTTTAGTTTGATGGTGGAAATACCTCCGTTTGAATCATATTAAGTGGTTACGATTCCTGATTTATAACTCTACAATATACTTGTCTATACTGTATTTTGATTTTCTGTTTTGCATTTTGGAAATCGTTTTCATTTTGTCCATTTTTCTAGTGTTTGCAAAGATTATCGTGACACATGTAAACGTTTGATGCATCGTATGAAATCTAGTGTAAGCTCTGAGTTGAAAAGTCGTACATGGTCTGTGGATTTTGCGCCTACTCCCAGTAATATCATTTGGTAAGCTTACTTTGGATTTTTTTTCAACAATTCACTTTCGATTCCTTTCGTTTTGTATTTGTCAATCAGTTTTGTTAAGTATTATTCTGCTCACATGTCCAACAAATGGTATGCTACTCTGACAGCATTTGTATTAGAAATGTAAAAGTAATATTAAGGCGGTAATTCATTCACCTCTTTTTCTGAATACACGTTGATATACCATGGGGAACGGTTATGAATTCCTTTTTAGGCTAATTGTTGGTTAGGATGGAAAATAGTTTGATGAATTATCAAATGCTTCATAGTATTTCTTTCGATATTAAGCGAAACAAATTTTCAGCATTCCCTTTTTCCTAAGGTTATTGGCTGGGACAATCTAGTGAGTTGAGGTGGCTGCGAACCTTTATCGTATAAGGTGTTTATAGTGTGTTGCCAGTGTCTACTCAGTATTTTCTGCGTTGCGCAGCGCTAACTGAAATAGACGTAAGTCGTTAAAGTTCAAAAGTTAGCTAGGCTAAAACATAAGTTATATATACGAATTCATTGATTGGTGGTCTAAGGCTTGTAAAAAGGGATCGGTCACTTAATACGGGTTCTCAAATCAATTGTAATAGATGGTTAGTGAATTTAGTGAATTTAGTTCATAATCTATTACAGTGATGCAGATTCTTTTACGGCCTATCTCCATGTGAGTCATAATATCATACATCCTTCTTTCTATTATACCTCTTACATCTTACGGTATCTAAAGTCTGCTGATGTTACTTTCATTACTTTATCTTTCATTCTGTTGACTTCTAATAATGTGTTGCTGTAAATTGTAGTAAATTGGGCCGAAACGCGTATGTGCTAAGTTCTATCTTGCTAGTGCTTGTGTACACATGCGCATGTTAGCATGAGTAAATAACGGTATTTTTATCATTACCACCTCGTTCCCTAAGTAGACATATTTACGTTAATTAATTGACAAAAATCTAACTCAACTTAATAGTTATGCTAAGGTGTGGAGTGATATCTAACAAAGGATTTTGACCCTGAATCGAATAACTATGTGCTTTTTGTGTAGCCTCCTTTCTAAGATCATATCTCACTTACCGATTTCTTCTTAGTGCATTTGTTTTCTACTAAGACTTTGAATATTTAATTATTATTACTACCAGCTATCAGTCGAATATCCGTATTTGTAGCCACATGTTGTCGGCCAGTAGTTCTCTTTATCTGAAGCCTCTTCCCAAATGAATGAACTATTAAGCGTTTTCTGTCAAATGATTTACTTTTCCAAAACATCTTATATACCTATTTGCTTCGACTCTTATAATAATAATAATAATAATAATAATAATAATAATAATAATAATAATAATAATAATAATAATAATAATTGAATTATGAATATTAGCGAAAGGAGATACTTACTGGAAAGAAATATTTCAAATTTCACCAGTCCACTTGCTATTCTTTTTTTACCTGTTAATGTTTCAAGTGTCATTTTCATCATAAGATTCATGTTGTATAGCTATATATTTTTTTGGTATTGATTTGATTTACCATTCAAGTCATAAATATCTGAATTGGCTAGTGTTACTGGCAATGTGCACCGAATTTTTTTTTATACCAAAACAATAAGGTTGTTACTTGTTTAAACTAGGGTATATCATGAAATTGGAATGTCGTTAGTGCTTTGTATTTACATCGATAACTGTTATTCAGAAATACACTAGGAAGTTGATTAGATTTCACCAAATCTTTCATTCATTTTTACATGTTCTAGTTATAATCAAGCAGATATTAGAAGTTATGATGTATTACATTCAGTAAGTAGATGATAATTAAGTGGATTTCGGATGAGGACAAAAAGATTATGGTATACATTTTTTTCTAGGTTAATGAAGTGAACTAAACTTTTCTAGTGAAGTGATGTACTTTGAGCATAATTCGTGTTATTATTGTGTACGTCATGTATTTTGTATCTTGTAAGCATTTAAACAGAACAATGGTCATATCATTTGATAATTTAAGATTGAATGTAGATTATTTCAAGATTTCTATGCAGGGATCAGATTTTAATTGAATTTTTATGTAAGTGTGAATTAGATTAGAAATATAGAATAGAATAGAATAATATAGAGACTTACACTAAAATACATTCGACTAAACTGTCACACCTTGTAGGCTGAGAGAAAGAGATGATCATAAAAAATTGGCGAGATCAAAGAAATGAGAGGTAAGAGCGACAACTAAATGAAGCTTAACAAGCTGTTCATGATTGTGATATTCTTATTTAATGAATAAATTTTACACCATTGTGATCTGTTTTCAGCTGCATCACCTAGGTTTCTAGTCTCTGGTGATAAACATTTCAGGGAAGTCAGTCAAACAACCTGTACTACGCAACGCCGACTCCTAGCAATATGCTCTAACTTCATTTATTGTTATATTTGATCATTCTTGATTTTTTCGACTTGAATCTGACTTCAATGAAGATTCCTGCTTGGTATGGACGATGACCAAGTATGCCTAATACATGCTTTAGTCGTCGTTCTTTCTATAGGATTTCCAGCCTCTTCAATTAACATGTCTTCCTTATATTGAACTCAATACTTAAAATTAACACTTGACTCTGCACAAATTAGTTACCTAATGGTAATTGATATATCTATCAATTCTTGAGTAGTCACTGTAACTTCTAGTCTAAGGAATATGACACTGTTGTGCACTTTCTTTTGTCGCTGTGTTCAGTCAATTGGAAACCGTGAACCTAAGTTTCATACCTCTTGTCGCTTATGAGCAACGCATGTCGGAGTGTTGTCTATGCTCCACTTCTACAGAGGGTCAGTTATAACCTCAGCAGTTTAGTAGTAAAGTCGCTGACTTCCACTTCCACTTTCAGGTTTCCGAAGGGAATTCGGTTTCATTGAGATGGTAGATGCATACCATGTTGACGAGCTCCAACAAGCACGAAACTTGTATCCAGGGTTTACTTCTGATTAACTCCTAAAATCCGACACCACTGGTCAATTTGTTTAGTAATGGTCATTATTAGTAAATATTTCGAATGGTTGTCGTGAGTTCTTTGTTATACACCTCTGTGATTTTTTCAGTCATGAAACTATGCTAGTGATTAGTTGTATCATAAAACCTCAACTTTGAGGTATGCATGTAAAGAAAATTTTTATTCATCTGTTGACTTGGTTTGGAAAGTGATATATATGCTTCAACGGTGTTTTTGGTTATTTTGGTCTAAATAAGTGATTAGTATCATTGGTCTTCATGTGATAAATGTTATCGATCTGTTGTGTGAACCATTAGGTACTTGTTACATCACATGACCTACAGGTCTATATGTTTATTATACGTTTTTAATGTCTTAATTTTAGTCCTATACAAGTTAAAAGGGAAACGTAACTACGATGAAACACTTATCAGATTCCCTTTTAAGCACAACATATTATTGATTTTATCAAATGGATTTCTAACCAATCGAAAACCTGAATCATCTTTGTTTCGTTTAGGAAATTAAACTGAAGCATACTTGGTTCACAGTCCAATATATAAGTCTCTTCAGAGTTACTGAAGGTCATTTCATCTTCAGAGTTTGATTATCAAGTAGTGTGCATCGAAGAAAAATCAACTCATGAATAATATTTTATTATTTTTCTTGTTCTAGGGAGAACCTATCTATTACTCGAACTTTGTGGTGGTGTCGAGCTATTATTATTAACTTATGCGTTTTCTTCCTGGTGTTTTTTCTCACTACACCCACGTATGTATTGAATTTGGTAAATACTCTGCATTTAACTGAACGTCTACAAATTAATGTAAGTTTCTTTCCTCATTGGTCATGTGAAATGTCTTCTATGTATTCTAAATAATTATTTGATGAATAAAATTTTGATACATTACGCTTGTACCTAATATAAACGTATTTGATGTTTGTATGTTTGCAAAAATGAAAACTCTCTTACCTTTTATGAAATAGTCTCCTTCTTTGGCTTCCTTCTATATAACTTGCGTTTAACAACTAGCTTTTCAAGATAGTATTCATCATGGACTGACATCAGTTGGGAAACCATTGAAAATCTGGGAGCACTGGACAGCTGTTTCACCCTAGTATGGGACTCCTCGGATGATATTCGCGTTATATCGTGAATTGACATAAGCTGGAAACTGTGAACCACTGAAGACCGACCCAGTGGCTGAATGGTTAGCGCATTTGCCGTGAAACCTGAAGGTCCGGAGTTCTATCCGTAGCCGGGTCGTGGGGCGTACTACCAAGGAGTCCCATACTAGAACGAAACACCTGTCCAAGATTTTCAATGGTTCCCCAAGTGATGTCAGTCCGTGGTGAATACTACCTCTAAATTAAATTATTATCATGTTCCTACTTATCAAAAGTGTCTTTAGTTTCTGTGAAGTTGGAATTCTCGCTCTTAAGCATCCAATTTTCAAAAAGCGTATCACACCGAATTTCGCCCCACCTACAAAAATTCATATATTATACATACCCTAGATATTTATCATCCAGTCATATGTAACATAAACAACATTGAAGTAAACCATGTTTATTGCAAGTAATGACTTTATAGTCTTCAGTTCTTCATCAGACAATTTCCTCATCCAATCATGAAGAAAACGGTCATATGGATGATTATGGCTTGGGAATTATCGGACGACAATTTGATCACCTGCTAATTTCATGTAGATATATACACAGTAACCACATTTCATGAATTTCTCATAAATCAAAATGATAAAAATATACATAACACCTTTTGTTCCAATGAGCATATCCAGTCGCCATTATAATGAAAATTACGAATGGTAAAAGAAGTTCTCCGACTACCGAAAGTCTCTCATTTCGGCCGTGGAAATGAGAGTAAAAGAAGTATGTTGCGTCACTGCCTTCGTTAGACAATCTAAAGACGAAAACATGAGGCAAAATATATCCATAAAAGTAGATTTACTGACAAGAACGTTTCGAACGTGATCGGAACTCTGCCGTATGGAACAAACTTTCATATTTTATTATATGACTTAAAAAGGTGATGTAACCAATTAACTTTTTAAGTGATGAAGTTATTTTTGTTGAACGTACAAACTTGACCAGATTAGATAGGTGTTACATTTTCCTATCAAATTTGAACAATTATACATACGTTAAATTAAAAGCCTTTAACATATAAATGAGACGCACTCAGGAATCATGTGCAAGCTCGTGCAGTAGACAATGAGCCATATTTATTGTGTGAGGGCTAATACAACTACTTGACTGCCTAATCCTCGGTAGATGGAATGGATTTCCAACCCATGACCTACTGGTTGTAAGTCAACTCTCTTAGCCAATGGGTCACAGTTCCACTGGAACACAGTAGGAGTAAATGGAACATAAAATGTTTAATTACCCTGTTAAGTAGCCTTATTTATTTTGTAATTTTCGCATTTTGTTTATTTCCTTTACCTTATTGTTTCATTTATAGAATCCACTGTTAAATCAGTTCATACCGTCTATTATTCTCTGGTCAGTGTCAGCCTTACTACCATATATTGTTTTCAATTCTGATCGTTTTGTTGGTCATTGGACTAAATCTGGTTTACATTTAACCGTTATGACGAAAACATTTACATTATTAATCTTAATGATTTTGATCCTCCCATCACTTGGCTTGACATCGTAAGTCTTATAGTTCAAGTATTTTTACGTGTATTATTAGCATGCAGAATGAAAGGGCTATTTTTAATTTATAAATTATCACACTTAGTTCAATATGACCTGAAGTATATAATTTGGTGTTGAATGATAGAAGTTCATGATTGGCTTTAGTTTAGTGCATGTTTTTGAAGTCATTAGTAACGCTCATCTATAGTCTTGAAGAAACTCCTCTTGAATTTCTGTACCTGCGTTAATCAGTGTTGAAGTCAGAAAATTTAGCATTTAGCTGTTCATATCGTAATTGGTCATCTATAAGAGAAGGGTTGTGTACAGGAATTGGTCGCGTAATGGTGACCAAGATAGATCTAAAGTTCTGAGCAGTGGTCAAGGTTTATTAATCATTTTTGTAATATTTCATTCCTTACTTATATCTTGTGAATAAGGGTTGTTAAACAAGTGTGAATATTTTGGAGTGATTGCATTCCTATATATAATGTTTTTTTTGAATGTTCCCTTATGTTGTTTCTTTTTTCTGTGCTCGTTCAAAATATGAAGTGAAGTCAATACTTAAACTAGAAAGGTGGATTTACGTAATTCAGTTTCATACAGGATCATTTGCAAAACTAGAAACTTAACATTTACTTATCCCCATTGTTGCTCCATATGAGTTCAAATTTTAGAGGGAGTACAGATTACTTCTATGTTTCATATACCCCAATACCAATCAATAAATAAAAGTAATCGTAGGTCTTATACATTAATTCACTAAGGTTCTGACCCTGACAAAATCAACGTGCAACCTCGCACACAGGTACTTTGGCTCAAGTTGCCACGCTTTGTACATAAAGAACAGGTGGATTGAAAAGGACTAGTATCAAAGTAGACAAAGTTTTATGAGTGAATAAACAATCTGAAGATGAAGGTTAGTGTGAATATTCAAGCTGTAGAAGACGTCAAGGTGTGAATAAATCTGCTCCATTGTGACTCATCTTCAGCCATGTCACCAAGAATCTTCGACCACTAATTCCTTTCGTCTGGTGGATACCAACCAGGCAGTCTACATCTCGCAACACGGCTCAGAGCAACAGTCAAAGACTTCATCGACTGGTACCACATCTTGCTTCGGGAACGCTTAACCATCTTCCAGCCTAATTTAGCTTCCCCTAGTTTGGCATGTCGAGGTAGGCGGTGGATCGAGATCCACAGTACATGTCCAATCCATCTCAGTCGTCTAAGGTTTACAACCTCATCAATCGACTTCCCTATCTTGCTTAGTGTTCTTCTCTTGACTTCAGCATTGCTTACACGGTGATTCCACCAAACACGAACAATGCTACGAAGACATCTGTGATAAGAACCCTGTAATCGCTTCATGTCTTCTACTCTTAACGGCCATATTTCACGGCCGTGCAACAAGACAGAATGAACTACCACACCGTATACTCGTTCTTTTGATAGATAGTTGGGTATCTCGCTAGTCAGAGCAACAGATGACGCAGGTTGACATATGCGAAATGGGCCTTTTGTTACCGAAGGGATTCATCAGCAACCAGTCCGTTTGCATCGGTACAACTCCCCAAGTAAGGGAAGTGGGCTACATATTCTACCACTTCACTCACTGTCATTCTACATCTTTTTTTCATCCTAATTTGCTTCTAGTTCTACTTTGATATTTCTTAAGGTGTGTTTTCAAACCATCTTAACGAAAGCTACTCATGTAGCAAACGACAAGACTGAAACTGACGAAAAGATGTTTCCAATTGACATCTTGTACACTAATCATCAAATATTGTACACATTCCACTAGAATTCATTTGTACAATATACTTCATTTCCTCTTCTACTTTTATCTTGATTTGCTGTTAATACGCCTACGTAGTCTCTTGTGTTTATCTGGGCAGAATATTTACGCATTCATGGTAATTCCCTATGATTTCTCCCACCCTCTCAACAAATACTACTTGTATGCATTCTTTTCAGTAGCGCCCACTAAAAACATGCACAACGACCAAGTTTTATTCAGCTTACTGTCCTGATCGACTTCCGATACATTTCCCACTACCATTAAGATATGAAAACCTCGCCTGGTTAACGAGCTCACTAGTTACTAGCCGGTCCTAAGCCCCCGTGAACACGGAAGGTTGAGCGTAGGGCTAGCAACCCTATCCCGTAAAACTGATCCAACCCCAAGGAAACTTCGAAGCACAAAGAAAATATGAAACAAAATCAAACTTATTCCTCGCTGGAATCGGAGAGGCAAAATGACGCCGGTTGGTGAAAGCCTCCTACAAGCCAACTGGCCGATGTGTCTTTTCTCTCTCTCTCTCCCTCTCTCTCTCTCTCGATGAAAGCGAAAGTAAACATAGGGACATGGAATATGCACAATCTGTGTGAAGCTGGCTGGCAAGGCTGCCCAGTTTGTAAAAGAGATGGAGAGGTATGGCATGGAAGTGCTTGGAATCTGCGAAATCAAATGGAATGGAAGTGGACTCTCCAAACTGTCAACTGGACAGTCAATAATCTACTCCGATATTGTCACCCAGACAAAAACCACGAGCACACTGAGTTTTCGAGTGGCTATCATGATGTCTCCAAGAACATCGAAGGCTCTCATACAGTGGGAACTATTCTCCTCCAGGATCATGATAGCAAGATGGATTCAACTCAAAAGGAAGGAAAGTTATAACCATACAATGCTACACTAATGACCTACAAACAATGCAGATCAAGAGAAGAAGGAGGAATTCTACAGACAACTGCAACCAACACTGGACAAGACCCCACCGAAGTTGGAGACATCAAAGTCCATGCTAATGGGTGACATGAATGCCAAACTGGAAGCAGACAACACAGGAAGAGAACTCATCATGGGTCGAGAAGCGCTCGGTGAGGTGATGAATGAGAATGGAGAACTGTTTGCAGAATTGTGTGCATTCAATGATTTGGTGATTGGATGATATTAGATATTCACAACCCGACATGGATTCCACCAGATGGACAAACGTAAACTCAGATCGACTTCATTTCGATCTGAAGAAAGTGGAGACGCAGCCTACTGGGCACAAGATCACGAAGAGGAGTACATGTAGGTTCACATCACTCACTATCTAGAGCAACGAACCTTCAAAATCAAGTTGAGAGCTTTCAAAGAAGCTGGTGGTAGACCACAGTTCAAGTTCAACACCTAGAACAGAAACTGAAGTCGAAACTACAAAAGACACCTTCACGTCACTCAGTCATCAGGACAGAATGGAAGACGTTGAGCAACATCCACGAGTAGACCTGCATGGAAAAACACTGGAACTCTTTGAAAGAGATGTGGAAAGAAACCTGCACAACCGTATTAGGAAGGAAGAGGAAGAAACAAGACAAGGAATGGATCTCCACGAACATATGGGAGCTGATGGAGCAGGGAGAGAAAGATGGTGAAGGGGAAGATGAACCAGTGCAGTGTAGTGCAGTGCAGGTATGAACAACGAAAAGAGGAGCTGAACACAACCTATAAAACACTACACTGGACAAAGAAATCAAGAGGAGTGTGCACAAAGACAGAAGACACTTCCACGACACACTGGCAAGTGAAGCAGAACAGGCTGCAGGTAGAAGAAACCGAGACCTGACAACATTGTATCAAATAACCAGGTTACTATCTGGAAGGGAAGAGATCAACACAGATGAAACCGATAAAGAAGATGATGAAGGAAATTTAATTACCAGAGGAGAAACAAAGGAAACAATGGGCTGACCACCACTACCACCTACAACTCGTCCAGAAATACCACCAGCAACGGCAGAACTACCAGTGAACACAGGCCCTCCGACAAAAGCAGAAGTTTAGTCCTGAACGCCATAAATTTGCTGAAAATCAAGACAGCAGCAGGACTAGATGGAATTCCTCCAGAAGCACTGAAACCGGACTCAGAGACAACAGCAGACATCCTCACACCACTATTACAGAAGGTTTGGAAGGAAGAAAGGCATGAAGAGTATCTGCCGATAGGAGACCTAGTTCTTTGCAAGAACTGGCACGGAATCATGCTCCACCCCTGTCCACCCCAAGCAAAATATTAAGCCGCATCATCCTGGAGAGACTATAAACGCTCTGGATTGAAAACTACGACCGGAACAGCCTGCTAGGATGGCATCAGAAAGAAAAAATCTTGTAGGGGTCAAATTGCAACAATACGCTACGCATCTTCATAGAACAGAGTGTAGAATAGCAGTCAACTCTCTACCTCAACTTCATCGACTTCGAAAAGGACTTCGACAGCATCGATCGAGAAGTAATTTCGCAGCCAGCTGCTCCAACACTCCGGTTTTAGTACCACAAACCTTTATCAACCTCATTCAACAGCTATATGCTATATGATGCTACATACCAAATGATTCTACCACCACCTGTATTTCGTCCTGAAATACCAACTGCAGCCCAGCCACAGAACTACCAGTGATCACAAATCCTCCAACAAAAGTGGAAGTCGTGAGGGCTATAAAGCTACTGAAATGCGCGAAAGCAGCAGGGCCAGACGGAATCCCGCCAGAAGCACTGAGAACAGATGCAGAGACAACAGCGGACATGCTGACACCACTATTTCAGAAGGTGTGGAAGGAAGGGAAGGTGCCTGGCGATTGTAAGAAAGGTTACCTTGTCAAACTGCCGAAGAAGGGCGACGTGAGTGTTTGCAAGAACTGGGGCGGAATCATGCTCCTGTCCCTGGGAAGCAAGCGAAATATTAATCCGCATCATCTTTGAGAGACTAAAGGATGCAGTGGATTGAAAACTACGACCGGAACTGGCTATCTGGCTGGCTGGTTGGATTGAGGAAGTACAAATCATGTGTGGACCGAATTGCAAGGCTTTGCATCATCATAGAAGAGAGTATAGAATGGCAGTCAACTCAACTCTACCTGAACTTGATCGACTTTGAGAAGGCCTTTGACAGCGTCGACCGAGAGGTAATTTGGAAGCTGCTTGAATACTACGGAATACCACAAACCTTTATCAGCCTCATTCAACAACTATATGAGGATGCCTTATGTGAAGTAATTCATAATGGGAAGCTGAGTGACGCTTTTGAAGTGAAGACAGGAGTGAAACAAGGTTGCCTACTATCACCCATGATATTCCTGATTGTGGTCGACTGGATCATGCAACGGACAGTGGGGAGCGAGAATAGGAGGATACGCTGGCTGGACAGGGGAAAAGAACCTAGAAGACTTTGATTTCGCCAATGATGACTTGTGTCTGATGTATTGTCGCAGCAACTTGAAGATCTACAGGTGTAACTAACAAGTTGTCAGAAGAGGCAGGCCATCGAAGGAAGGTGTGACTTCCTGCAAGTGAACGTAGAGAAGACAGAGGTGATGAAGATACGCAACCAACAGAACCAAGAACAACAAACTCCAATCAGCATCAACGGGAGAAACCTAAGGGAAGTAGCCTCTTATCACGTATATAGGAAGCACTGTTTGAACTACAGGTGGCGGCACAGACGAGGATGTGGAAGTCAGAATGGGAAATACAGCAAGACAGGCGTTCATTAACCTGAAACCAGTGTTGAGATCTTCTGCACTCAGCATTATGGAACAAGATTTGGATTTTCAACACGAACGCCAAATCAATGCTTCTATGTGATGGTTGAGAGACTTGTCGCGTTACGAAAGAGATTTCCAACAAACTACAGACATTCATCAATAACTGCCTACTCTGGCTCGTTACTGAAGTTTAGATGACCAGAATGATAAGAATTAGCAACAAGGAAGTGTGAGAACGAAGCAACCAAGAAGCTATCGCTGAAGAAATATGGAGTGGAAGGAAGTGGAGATGGGGATGTATTGGGCATACACTGAGAAAACCGTTTGCGGACATCACGCACCAGGCCAGGTCAGGTCAGGCTGGGCCATCGAGTGGAACTCAGATGGGAAACGACGAGTTGGGCGTCGAAGGTTAGGATGATATGAAGGAGATGGTGTGAGGAATAAATGAGAGCTTGTGGGTAGTCGTGGAGTCAGGTTGAAAAGATTTCAGAGAAGAGAGTGGAATGGAGACGTGCCACTGAAGCTCTATGTTCTAATAGGAACCCAAGGGACAAAGAATAATAATAATATGTGAAGTGGATTCGTTGAGTACCACTAGACATTGGGTACATGCAGTCTAATTTTGAAAGAATTCGTTTAATTTTTCACGATGTTCACACTTTACTGTCAGTAAAATGGATTATTTCACTGATGAGTGATTATTTTCATTCAGTAATTCATTTTCTTGATTGCTGCTTCAGAATACCTGCTCTACTTCAGTGGCTTTTCCCAGAAATGCGGATCATACCACTAGTACCATCGAATTCTAGTGGAACTTATGAAGATGCTGACAATTTTAGTCTGTTGAATACAACTCCTTCAGCAGAACCTGAAAATGTGACCAGCCCGTTCATCCCAATAGGACCTCAATCTTTTCAATGGGAGTGTGTTTTCATGCCAGATAATGGCGCCTTCTTTGTAAATTATGTGATCACTGCGGCATTTATTGGTACAGCATTAGAACTTGTTCGCTTTTCTGAATTAGTTAATTACTCCTGTCGTCTTATGTGTATAAAATCACGTGCTGAAAAAGCTGGTGTTCGAAAAGTAAGTCATTTTTCTAATGTTTTCGAATAATTTGTTTGTTTGTTTTGTAACTTATTTGCTTAGTCACAGGGGTGGTTATAATGTAAAACAGTCGAAGGGGCGTTAATGTCATGAACATAACTGTCGGCTGCATGAAGAGTAAAAGAGTGCATTTGCAAACAAACAGGCAGGAGGAATAATTTTATCCTCCGACCTGATGGAACTTCACGTTATACATAACTGAAATACAGGTTATCTAAGAATGACATTTTTTTATGATCTATCATTTCGGTCCTAGTGGAACAATGGGGCTTCAATATCACTTTGACATTGCACTCTGTTCCCTGAGGCCTTTTCAACATGGCTCCACGACAGCCCACAAGCCTTGATTTCTTCCCCACACAATCTGCATGTCACCCTCGCCTCGGATGCCCTACTCATCGTTTCCCATTTGGGTTCCACTTGACAGCCTGGCCTGGCCTGACCTGGCGTGTGATGTCCCCGAACGGTATTCTCAATGTATGTCCAATTCAATCCAATCCAATTTATCCCCACTTTCTTCTTCTGTACATTTGTTTGACGATGAGTTCTTGGTTGGTTCTTTGCCAGCCGAAGTGAGTTGGTTGTTGCTTATTCCTATTATTCTGGCCATCTGATCTTCTGTGTCATTATCGAGTGAGCGTAGGTGGCATCTGTTGATGTAATGTGTGTCTGCAGTTTGTTGGAACGGGCCAAGTCTGTCAACCATCACATAGAAGCACTAACTTACTTGACTGACATTAGTGTTGAAAATCCAGATCTTGTTCTTTATGCTGAAAGCAATGCAATGCAATGCAATGCAATGCAATGCAGTGCAGTGCAGTGTAGTAGATCTCCACACTGATTTCAGGTTATTGAAGGAAGGCGTGTCTTGGTGTCTTTCCAATCCTGTCTTTGACGTCGTCATCTGTGCCGCCACTGTCGTCGTCGTCGTCGCCGCCTGTAGTTGAGACGATGCTGCCTAGGTTGGTAGATGAAAGAGACAACTTCGTTTAGATTTCTCCCGTTGATGGTGATTGATACTTGTTGTTGATGTTGTTTGAGTATCGTCACCACCTTTGTCTTCTCTACGTTCACCTGGAGGAAGTACCGTCTTCGTTGCCTCGCCTCCTTTGTCAACTTGTTAGTTATTGCCTGTAGATCTTCGAGCTTGTGCGATAAGACAGTAGACATAAATCATCATCGGTGGCGAAATCCAAATCTTCTGGGATGTATTCATCGATCCAGCTAGCGTATGTCCATCTTCTCGCTGGTCACAGTTTGTTTCATGATCCAGTTGAGCTCAATCGGGAAGATGATCGGTGATAGTAGGCGGGAGCATTGTCTTACTGTCTCCTGTTTTCACTTTGATGACATCACCGAGCTTTCTATTTTGAGTCATTTGGTATGTGGCATCATATAGCATATCGCTATTGAATGAGGTTGATAAAGGTTTGTGGTACTAAAACCGGAGTGTTGGAGCAGCTGGCTGCGAAATTACTTCTCGATCGATGCTGTCGAAGTCCTTTTCGAAGTCGATGAAGTTGAGGTAGAGAGTTGACTGCTATTCTACACTCTGTTCTATGAAGATGCGTAGCGTATTGTTGCAATTTGACCCCTACAAGATTTTTTCTTTCTGATGCCATCCTAGCAGGCTGTTCCGGTCGTAGTTTTCAATCCAGAGCGTTTATAGTTGTTAGTTTCGCCTGTAGATCTTCAAGTTGCTGCGACAATACATCAGACACAAGTCATCATTGGCGAAATCAAAGTCTTCTAGGTTCTTTTCCCCTGTCCAGCCAGCGTATCCTCCTATTCTCGCTCCCCACTGTCCGTTGCATGATCCAGTCGACCACAATCAGGAATATCATGGGTGATAGTAGGCAACCTTGTTTCACTCCTGTCTTCACTTCAAAAGCGTCACTCAGCTTCCCATTATGAATTACTTCACATAAGGCATCCTCATATAGTTGTTGAATGAGGCTGATAAAGGTTTGTGGTATTCCGTAGTATTCAAGCAGCTTCCAAATTACCTCTCGGTCGACGCTGTCAAAGGCCTTCTCAAAGTCGATCAAGTTCAGGTAGAGTTGAGTTGACTGCCATTCTATACTCTCTTCTATGATGATGCAAAGCCTTGCAATTCGGTCCACACATGATTTGTACTTCCTCAATCCAACCAGCCAGCCAGATAGCCAGTTCCGGTCGTAGTTTTCAATCCACTGCATCCTTTAGTCTCTCAAAGATGATGCGGATTAATATTTCGCTTGCTTCCCAGGGACAGGAGCATGATTCCGCCCCAGTTCTTGCAAACACTCACGTCGCCCTTCTTCGGCAGTTTGACAAGGTAACCTTTCTTACAATCGCCAGGCACCTTCCCTTCCTTCCACACCTTCTGAAATAGTGGTGTCAGCATGTCCGCTGTTGTCTCTGCATCTGTTCTCAGTGCTTCTGGCGGGATTCCGTCTGGCCCTGCTGCTTTCGCGCATTTCAGTAGCTTTATAGCCCTCACGACTTCCACTTTTGTTGGAGGATTTGTGATCACTGGTAGTTCTGTGGCTGGGCTGCAGTTGGTATTTCAGGACGAAATACAGGTGGTGGTAGAATCATTTGGTATGTAGCATCATATAGCATATAGCTGTTGAATGAGGTTGATAAAGGTTTGTGGTACTAAAACCGGAGTGTTGGAGCAGCTGGCTGCGAAATTACTTCTCGATCGATGCTGTCGAAGTCCTTTTCGAAGTCGATGAAGTTGAGGTAGAGAGTTGACTGCTATTCTACACTCTGTTCTATGAAGATGCGTAGCGTATTGTTGCAATTTGACCCCTACAAGATTTTTTCTTTCTGATGCCATCCTAGCAGGCTGTTCCGGTCGTAGTTTTCAATCCAGAGCGTTTATAGTCTCTCCAGGATGATGCGGCTTAATATTTTGCTTGGGGTGGACAGGGGTGGAGCATGATTCCGTGCCAGTTCTTGCAAAGAACTAGGTCTCCTATCGGCAGATACTCTTCATGCCTTTCTTCCTTCCAAACCTTCTGTAATAGTGGTGTGAGGATGTCTGCTGTTGTCTCTGAGTCCGGTTTCAGTGCTTCTGGAGGAATTCCATCTAGTCCTGCTGCTGTCTTGATTTTCAGCAAATTTATGGCGTTCAGGACTAAACTTCTGCTTTTGTCGGAGGGCCTGTGTTCACTGGTAGTTCTGCCGTTGCTGGTGGTATTTCTGGACGAGTTGTAGGTGGTAGTGGTGGTCAGCCCATTGTTTCCTTTGTTTCTCCTCTGGTAATTAAATTTCCTTCATCATCTTCTTTATCGGTTTCATCTGTGTTGATCTCTTCCCTTCCAGATAGTAACCTGGTTATTTGATACAATGTTGTCAGGTCTCGGTTTCTTCTACCTGCAGCCTGTTCTGCTTCACTTGCCAGTGTGTCGTGGAAGTGTCTTCTGTCTTTGTGCACACTCCTCTTGATTTCTTTGTCCAGTGTAGTGTTTTATAGGTTGTGTTCAGCTCCTCTTTTCGTTGTTCATACCTGCACTGCACTACACTGCACTGGTTCATCTTCCCCTTCACCATCTTTCTCTCCCTGCTCCATCAGCTCCCATATGTTCGTGGAGATCCATTCCTTGTCTTGTTTCTTCCTCTTCCTTCCTAATACGGTTGTGCAGGTTTCTTTCCACATCTCTTTCAAAGAGTTCCAGTGTTTTTCCATGCAGGTCTACTCGTGGATGTTGCTCAACGTCTTCCATTCTGTCCTGATGACTGAGTGACGTGAAGGTGTCTTTTGTAGTTTCGACTTCAGTTTCTGTTCTAGGTGTTGAACTTGAACTGTGGTCTACCACCAGCTTCTTTGAAAGCTCTCAACTTGATTTTGAAGGTTCGTTGCTCTAGATAGTGAGTGATGTGAACCTACATGTACTCCTCTTCGTGATCTTGTGCCCAGTAGGCTGCGTCTCCACTTTCTTCAGATCGAAATGAAGTCGATCTGAGTTTACGTTTGTCCATCTGGTGGAATCCATGTCGGGTTGTGAATATCTAATATCATCCAATCACCAAATCATTGAATGCACACAATTCTGCAAACAGTTCTCCATTCTCATTCATCACCTCACCGAGCGCTTCTCGACCCATGATGAGTTCTCTTCCTGTGTTGTCTGCTTCCAGTTTGGCATTCATGTCACCCATTAGCATGGACTTTGATGTCTCCAACTTCGGTGGGGTCTTGTCCAGTGTTGGTTGCAGTTGTCTGTAGAATTCCTCCTTCTTCTCTTGATCTGCATTGTTTGTAGGTCATTAGTGTAGCATTGTATGGTTATAACTTTCCTTCCTTTTGAGTTGAATCCATCTTGCTATCATGATCCTGGAGGAGAATAGTTCCCACTGTATGAGAGCCTTCGATGTTCTTGGAGACATCATGATAGCCACTCGAAAACTCAGTGTGCTCGTGGTTTTTGTCTGGGTGACAATATCGGAGTAGATTATTGACTGTCCAGTTGACAGTTTGGAGAGTCCACTTCCATTCCATTTGATTTCGCAGATTCCAAGCACTTCCATGCCATACCTCTCCATCTCTTTTACAAACTGGGCAGCCTTGCCAGCCAGCTTCACACAGATTGTGCATATTCCATGTCCCTATGTTTACTTTCGCTTTCATCGAGAGAGAGAGAGAGGGAGAGAGAGAGAGAAAAGACACATCGGCCAGTTGGCTTGTAGGAGGCTTTCACCAACCGGCGTCATTTTGCCTCTCCGATTCCAGCGAGGAATAAGTTTGATTTTGTGTTTTATATTTTCTTTGTGCTTTGAAGTTTCTTCAGCGATTGTATTGGGGCTGACTGGTGGAGTATTTTATGTAGGCGGAATGACAACTGATTCGATAGTAGCTTGTGAAGAGGGCTGATGCATTTGTATTAAATCTGCAGTTTATCTTTTATAATAGTGTGCTTGTGATGCGGCGGTGTGTTATGTAGCATTTAAAATGCATTTCCTGATTTAGGTGTTTTATTTTCTGCCTCACCGTACTGTTCCTAAATTTTGCTATTGTGTGTGTTTCATTTTCACCACTTTCTGTAGGCTAGTCAGTTTGAATTTGCCTTTGGTCTCTTCTATGCCTGGAGTCTGTGTGTATTTGCCGTAATATGTGCTTACAGTATTGTGTGTCCTCTGATCACACCGTTCGGTAGGTTTACAGTTTCAATATTTTTGTTATCATTTATAGCAACCGTTTGACTTTCTTATCTAATTATTTGCGTACATGCCGAGTGTTTATCTCTGAGTAAATTACCTCATTGCTTTTGTGACACGAACCGTTTTATGGATACTTCTCAACCTCTCTTAGCAATTCAACCGAACTCGTGCTTTTTTCTTGGTAAGGTGCACCTCATCTCCTTATCGTAGCCCTTATCTAAAGTAAAGGAGTTATCATTTTTTTACTAACTTTCACTATATGGGTAATATTTTCTGACATTGTGGATAACAAAACTTTAAAGCGAGTGGAGATTTTCATTGTATAATATATTTAATCGTATTTGGAACGAATCTGCCTTTCGAACAGATGGAGCTGACTCCTTAACTTATGCACTGAAATTTCGAATGGGGGATCTTTGGTTGAAGTTCTATCTCACCGAGTTTTACCTGGGTTTGTGTATACAAACCTGCACCAATCAGATGAGTTGCACCAATTTTGATAATTAAAATGACTTAGTCGAGCAATATGGTAAGCGTGTTCGCTACAGTAGGTGACACTCTAAAGTTATGTAATTTCTAATTCGGTCTATTTAGGTTTTGAATACCAAGTATTATGAATAAAAGTTGTTATCTCTCTTATCTTGTAACAAAAGAGGTTGTAAGTTTGTGAAACTCTGCCTAAACGTTTAATCATCTTTTCTGATCATAGGTAACTTAGTTCCTACGTTATTGTTTTAATACAACGATTGCACTGTTTTTCTTCATCAATCCGGAAAGTTGTTCATATGTGACTTTGTGTTCTCTGTAAAGATGTATAGTTTAACCGACGGTAGATAATGGAAACCTCTTTGGCTGTCATTAAGTGATCTACTGTAGGAAGTCGTGATATGATTCAAAGGTTTATCAAATTAAGTTCAGAATCCTATTACTTTCTCAGTCTATACTCGTTTTAGATATTTTCATAAGTTTCATTCTAAATAGAAGGGAATTTCAGCTTACCCATCATAAGTGAACATAGTAACCAGTTTCAATGGTTTACATTTAATGAATTAATTTTCCAAAATCAGGTAGAAATATAGTTTTTTACTGACCATTTTTTTCTGGTTGCAGTTTGATTCTGTTGACTTTTCTTAGTTTCCATTCGAAGTAAGTTGATTGACATTTCCAACCTGTGGCAGATATCTGGACGAACAATATTAGCATAGGACTTGGCATTACCACGTAGCAGTCCAAGTTGCCACACCTCTTATCAGCATATCAAGCGAGAATGCATCAAGATGAACGATAAGGAATTACAGAAGAAATTAGTCAACGGTTTTAAAAAGTAGTGAAAAGAGAGCAATGGAGAATGTGACAATACTGGAATTCATCATGACAATCAAAATGAAAGTAATGCATGCATATACCTAGTCTGCTGTTACGCGGATCCCAACCGGGAATTTTACACTCCCCCCATATGGACCGGACTAATAATCGAGGACTTCATGCACTGATACCATGTTTTAGTCTGGTTGTTCCTAAACTTCTAGCGTGCACCTACTTCACTTAACATTGTGTGATTGTGCAAATTGTGACTTACCCTGCGTAATACATATCCTAGCCACCTCATTTACAAAGGTCCACAACCTCATCAATCGATGTTGCTATTCTACCTACAACTCTACACCTGGTTTTCAAGTTAATAACGTGAAAGTTTCACGATACACGGGCGCTGCTACGAAGCCTTCTCATTTTCTCTGCCTTTAAGGGTCATGTTTCCCAACCATATAGTAGAACAGAGCTCATTGTGATACTGTCTATTAACAAGGGGTGAGTTCATTGCGTATCAATAATTGACTGATTGAGTGCGAGAGATAGGCATGTTATACGTACGTGGTAATAAGTGTCTTCCAAATGTCGTTGCTATATGCTGAAATCGTAAAGTTAGTTGATTTGTTTGTGCAACTGTACTAACTGATCTGTGCTCACTATTAGCAACTTATGTATTACGTGGTTTATGCATCCATTCTCCCAAACATGAATGTAAATAACCAATTTTACCATATTATCTAAAAGAAGCACGTGCAATAATAGATACTTGGTTTTCTTCAAGGAAACGCGTACTATCTGAGAGATTTAAACCTTTATTACTAAGTATGCGCGACCGGATTTCAAATTTGATCTTTGTTTTTCTATTGATCTTTATAATGATCATAAGTGCATCCATTTAATTGAGTGGGAAGGGTAATTAATTTGTGTGGAACCGATGTTTTCTAAATTTATTATCTTGACCGTATGGTGATAAAATTGTGTTCACAAACTCTTGGTACGAGATGAAAATGAAATTTCTAGTTGTCCGAAGAACAGCTGCTGTAGGGGAATAATATATACTTTCCTAGTGTTTGGTGTTCAATTTGTTCTCTGTATTGTTGTTCAGGTGTAGCTCATTGGCCCAAACATTCACCTTTCTTAAGTAATTGCTACGAGGTTCACATCCTGATAGACTCAAGTCAGGCTTGACAAAGAGATAGTACCATAAGCCCTTACACAATAGGTCAAGTATATAAATATGTAACAGACATTTGAGTTACATTTTTAAATTTTCTTGATTGTGATTCCAGATATTTAAACAAAGCTCTCAGCATGTTAAAGATCAGTATTTGGAGACAGTAGGTAACAGATATGATCCTAATTTCTTAGCACACTCTCTACCAAATGGTCCTTCCGGATTTTGAAAAGTTCTTTAGTATATGCGATTTGTTCGCTATTCATTTATGTTTTTTGGAGGATCTACTTTATTATTTTCCATATTCATTGGGTATTTGTTTGTGTTGTTGAAGATTGTATTAACTTGGATTAATGGATATCTTTTGGGTTTATTTTGGCCGATAGATAGATGTGATATCTGGTTTTTAACTCATTGTTGTCCGATTCCGTTTGGTTGGGAGTTATGTTTTCACTTATTATGTTTATAAGCCCATAGTTGTTCTGCTGGATGCTTCTTTGAACAGCAAGATTTTGACTATTCAGTCACTTTTTGTTGAATGAGCACCTAACTAAACCACGTTTATATTGGAATGGCCAATAGCCATGGAAATCAAGATATTACTCTATCCATCTAGGCTTCCTATAAATCGACCTTCTGATTGAACCATCCTCCCGTCGATTAAGCAATATGTCTAGGAACGGTAGCTGGTTGTTCATCTCCTTCTTCAGAAGTAAGGGTAATGTGATTTTCAGTCGTGTTCATCTTCTCTAACAGACACATCGCATCATCAGGCTTTTCACGTATAATGACTACATCATCGACATTTCTCCTATAAAGTGGAACGAATATAATAAGAGCTAAGGAAAATATGATAACCCAGAAAACTATGTGATGAATTTATCGTCCGTTCAGTCATCTGTTCTTGATAAAGAGACGCCCTTTCTTGGGTTCAGTTTTTCTGTCCATCAAGAAAAATTTGATTTAACGACTGATGCTTAATTTGAAAACCTGTATGATCAGCTAAGCTCATTTGTCCTAACTTCTCCAGACAATCAAAACTGGATAAGAACTAAATTAGTAGACATTACTCATGAGTTTCATAATCCTGGTCCAAGACGGAAAAGCGTCTTAACGCATGAGCATTTGAAGGCGCTCAAAGGATTACGAAATAACTCTGATATTGTTATACTAAAAGCCGATAAAGGATCGAGTGTGGTATTTATGAACAGGTTTGACCATAAAAGTCAGATGTTATCCGCTCTTAGTGATGAAAGTAAATTTATTTCAGATGTCCCCTCTGAAGGAGTACGTAAATTGGAAGGGAAGTGGAAATACTGGCCATGAGTTTAATTAATAAAGATGAATTTAATTGTCTAAAACCTATGGGATATGAACATCCACATCTATAAGGGTTACCTAAAACTCATTAACTTAACAATATGCCACTTCTGATATTGTCTAAGTGCGATCCCCTACACATAATCTAGCTTAAATGGTTGGCAAAGCTCTTGAGTTCTATAATAAGCCATTTATGTAAGACCTCACTGAAAGATACGTTAGACCTTGTTAATTGTTTAAGTTATATTAATATCAAGGATAAGACTATGTACTCCTTCGATGTAAATTCTTTATTTACTAATGTGCCACTGGCAAAAACAATTGGTGTTTTATGTGACTATATTTTTTTCTAAAAGTCTTATATTCCCTATCTCTCTTAATTTTTCAAAAGATTTATTATTATTATTATTATTATTATTATTATTATTATTATTATGTACTGACAAAGTTTAATTCACATCCGACGGTAGTGAACACTTTTGACAGGTTGATGACATCGCGATGGGTAGTCCATTAGGACCGTTGCTAGCCAATATATATATGCTACATATTGAAAACATAGTTGACGAACTAACCAGAAGGGTTTTATTTTAAAGGAGAAATGTCGATGATGTAGTCATTATATGTGAAAAGCCTGATGATGCGATGTGTCTGTTAGAGAAGATGAACACGACTGAAAATCACATTACCCTTACTTCTGAAGAAGGAGATGAACAACCAGCTACCGTTCCTAGACATATTGCTTAATCGACGGGAGGATGGTTCAATCAGAAGGTCGATTTATAGGAAGCCTAGATGGATAGAGTAATATCTTGATTTCCATGGCTATTGGCCATTCCAATATAAACGTGGTTTAGTTAGGTGCTCATTCAACCGGATAAAACCGCATGTGCACCGATGACATGAAGAAGGAAGAAACCAACTTACTGACGACAACACTGATACAGAATGGCTATCCGTTGTAATTTATCAACAGGTACAAAAGTTTTATTGGACTGAATAGCATACAGTGTTCCGTTGCTAGGATAAATGTCTAAATCTCATTGCCATTTAGAAGTGATTCACATGGCTTTGTTGTGAGAAAAAGCCTTAGATCAGCCATCTGTAAAACATTATGCAGCTAAGGTCATCATTGCAGAGAAGAAAAAGTTCATGTAACAAAACAAACCAGGACAACGTATAAACGACTGCATCACATCCCACTGTGTTTATAAGTTTACATGCATATGTGGACATAATACATAGGTAGGAGTAATCGTGATATGCAGTTCAGGATAGTTGGATATGTACCTAGATAGATTCAGAAACAAATGACATCAACAGATCCGATAAGTGCAGGTGACAAACGTCTATCTTTATCTGTCGCTAAACGTATAATAAAAACTAATCACATGTTAGACATGAAAAGAGCTTTTAAAGTACTACATGAAAGTTGTCAGAGCCGAATACTTAAATTTATCGAAGCTCAAACTCAAACTCCTTTTTTGTATTCGAAAACGATTTGTAATCACGTTAAACCTGCCTTGGCAGTATTAGTTGCAATTTTCATAATAAGAGTAATGTGATTAAGATTTTATTTTTTCTCTGCCCTTCCTATTCCTATGTGACCTATTGACTTCGTTGACCCTTTTCTTAAATTTTCATGTAAATAGTTCGATAAGCCTATGTGTGGTCAGATTGTTCGAAATATGTAGCGCTAATCCATCACTTGTCTCAGATAACCTTTACCTTCTCATTACGCTATTTGAAGCAACTTTGGTTAGTAATTCAATTACTGGAATTAAGTTTAGTTATCATTTGACTACCGCCAGAAAGAATAAGCAACAAGGAACTCTGGGAACGAACCAAACAAGAACTCATCACTCAACAAATATGCAGAAGGAAGTGGAGATGGATTGGCCATGCACTGAGAAAACCATTCGGAGACATCACGCACCAGGCCAGGCCGGGCCACCGAGTGGAACTCATATGGGAAACGACGAGTTGGGCGTCGGTGCTGAGGGTGACATGGAGGAGATGGTGTGAGGAATAAATGAGAGCTTATGGGTAGTCGTGGAGCCAGGTTGAAAAGATTTCAGAGAAGAGAGTGGAATGGAGACGTGCTACTGAAGCCCTTTGTTCTACTAGAAACCCAAGGGACAAATAATAATAATAATTTGACTACCTGAGATAGCCGTAGTTTGGCAGACTAGTATTTATACTAGGCGACGATTGAAGGTGATGAAAATCTGTACCGCGGGTGGATTTTCGTCTCACCTTCAATCATCACCCAGTATAAGTTTAGTTATTTAACATGCCGTAACATAACTATACCTTACCATAACATAACCTTTATATTCGTGTACCAAATACGTCTTACTGTTCAATCTTTATTGACCTGACCTTCAATTTTTTCTTCTTTTTTTCATTTCATTTCAGGTTTGGTTTATCTAATAATGAAATATTTCGTGGAACGGTATAACTTGTACTATGCCTATCTACCTAGCCGTATCGATTCACATATCCATTGGCTCGCAATAAGTTGTATGCTAGCCTCTGTTTTCTTATTACAGTTGAATATATTTATGTTTATTGTTTTACGTGCTAATACTGTCAGTCATGCTTTAGTTCTTTGTTCACTTTTGGGATTAGTATTCTCAGCACTATTGATGATCTTTACAATTGTCACCGGATGGATCCTATCAGGCACTGGTTCAGCGCGTAAATTTCTCTTACGACATGCACATCATATTTGCGCCAGTGATGATATACTTTCAGATCAACATAGTCAATATACTCGTACGAGTAGTTTGCATTCTCGGAGACCGCAGTCGAATAGTTTGACAGAAATAGTAAGTTCTGTATTCTTATGTATTTTAGTACTATTCTTATTTTTAAAAGTAGCGGTTGTCATGGACTGACATCAGTTCGATAACCAGTGAAAGCCTGGAAACACTGGGCAATTGTTTCTTCGTAGTATGGGACTCTTCAGCAGCGCGAACCTGCAAACCTGCTAGGGATCGGACCGAGGACCACCAGGTTTCTTGGTGAACACGTCACCACTCGGCTGCTGAGTCCGAATCCAGTGGTCCATATTATCCGTCTTCTGTTAGTTTGTGACTTAGCGCAACACACTGTAAACGGATTTATTTGAAAGTTGCGTTCTCACGTGTCTACATCATACAAGCTGTTTATGATTATTTTCTGAATTACTATACAATTATGTCGACAGTGATTAATATATTCTCCTCTGATTTGAGGTTACGACAATAACTGGTATAACAGAATTGAACAGTAAGGTTACTAAGTAGACACTATGACTTTTTGAAATTTCCACGATGTTAAGCAAAGTGTTGAAGATTTGTTGTTTACGGAGATAATTCTAAGATCATAATGTATCTTAATTTTGTTCTAAATATCGCCACTAGACCTTTTATAGCATTTAAGGGAAAGGAATAAAGGCCAAGAGTATGGATAAAAAAAAGTCAATTGGGTTTATTAAACTTAGTACATCATCATCAAGATCAACATAGGACCAGGTATTAATTACCGCGAAACGGTCCAAGTTGCAGCACCTCATATCAACACATGAAGTAACAAGGCAATTAAATGGAAGATGAAGAATGAAAGAAAAATCGGTCAAAGGAAATATAAGTAGAGAAGAAGGAAGAATGAGAAAATCATGAGATTAAGTATAGTGGTTAAGATGAGGATAATGTGTGTATACGTCTGCGCTACTGACATCGATTCGGGGCCATATCACCTGGAGTCTATAACCACTGGTTTCTCTTGTCCCACGGACCCCAACCGGCTAGTCTGCATTTATTAAGTCTACAAATGAGAATATAGGGGTGTCAGAAAGCTGTTCTTTACTCTTACATCAATGTATTTTCTTTTGACCACCTAAGCTTTTTTTCATTATGAATTTGCACTTCCTCGTACCCATGTTTCTGCGTAACTAACTATTTATCAATGGCTTTACTGATAACTCTTTTTCTCTATATCCTCGCTGTTGAAAGTAGTTAACTTGATTCTACGTTTACGACATTTGATCATAATGACTCTGCAGCTCAGCAAAGATTAGCACAGACCAACTTTAGCTCTGTATTACATCATCATCAATATCAACATAGGACCATGCATTACTGCGTAACGGTCCGAGTTGCCACAGCTCATATCAGTACATCGAGTAGAAAGCTAGTGAGGTGAAAGATGAAGTGAAGATAAGATAACTCAGTCAAGAGAAATATAAAGTAGGAGGAGAAAGAAACGAAGAATGAGAAAAACGTGACACTTAGTATAGCGTCGTTAAGATGATGATAATGTGTGTATACATCTGCGCCAATGACATCGGTTCTCAGCCATATCATCTAGAGTCTCCAACCACTAGTTCCTCTTGTCACGCGGACTCCAACCACCAAGTGTGCATCGCCCTACATGGCTGAAACCAACGGTCAAAGACTCCATGCACTGGTGCCATGTTTTAGTTTGGCCACCTCGGGCCCTTTCCCAGCCTGGACCTACTTCGGCCAACATTGTGTGACGAGACAATCTTCGACTAGGCATGCGTAGTACTTGTCCTAACCATCTCAGTCGATGAAGGTTCATAACCTCGTCAACTGATTTACCTCTACTGCCTAAAGATCTATACCTGACTTCTTCATTACGTGGTGACACCACGGAATACGGCTTATACTACAAAGGCAACGGTGGTCAAACACCTGTAGCCAGCCTTCTCATGTTTTCCACGTTTAGTGGCCATGTTTCACAGCCATACAGTAGAACAAACCGGACTGCTGTGCAGGTGCAGCACACGCGACCCTTAATGGACAAACGGATATCACGGCGGTGCCATAGATGGCATAAATTAGCAAAAGCCAATCGAGCCTCTTGTATTCGTGCAGAAATTTCACCGGCCACTGAGCCACGAGGGTAGGGCTGATCCTACTTCCCAGGTAAGTGAAATGATCGATACACTCAATCACTTCACTCTGTATGGTTAACCGTGGCACCGTTGAAGACCAATCCTGGAGCAACAATTAGCATTTTGGTGGCGAGAAACGCATCCCAAACATTCTCAAATTGCCACTCAAAGTGTTCAGAAGACTCTTCATCTTATTCGCGTCTTCACCTTACAGGACTATGTCATCTACATATTCTATGTCTAACGAAAATTCTCCTGTGATTAGGTCAACGTCTGTGTAATCAGGTGTCGAGAGGGAGACCTCCACAAGAATATCTATGATAAAATGGAATAAGAATGGCGACAGTGGGCACCCTTGAAGGACACCAGTGGATGAGCATAGCTCCTTGGACATTTCACCATAGGCTCTAACACGCCCATAAGTGTTCGAGTAGAGAGCCTTCAATAAGGTGATGTACTGTATTACAACATTTTGCTGACGGGAGCCACACATCTCCAGGAGATTCGTCTACACAACGTGATCTCCCAGAGGGTATGAGAAAACGTCTACTTTACAATACCGAAGATCTGGCAATCCTAAAATGGAGACTGAAATTATGTATCCAGGGATGACTTGGCTATTTCGTCGTTATTCATTTCCTGTTTCTTGAAATGTCCCATGCGTTTAGCTCAGTTACAAGTTTGTCATTCTCTTGCTTACCGACAACTGTCGATTCCTTTCGTTACGAATGCCCTAGCGGAGTCATTTGGGAGGACTTCTGAAGAGTCTCGTACTATGGCTAAGCTCTGTACAGTACTCCCAGGTTTCCGATTTCTTCGACTGTCAGTCTTTGATGAACAGTAGCTTGTAACCATTCAGTTAAATCCTCACAAGTCTTCGAATTGAACTTTCATATTTCTTATATAGTTTCCTTTCGTGTATTATTTTCATAACCACAAGCCACTAACAATTATCGACTAACAAATGTTGACATTTTTATGCACATTAGCCGTGTTTGATGCGCTTTTACAGCTGCAGAGGATGATATCGCCGGAAACTAATTTGTTCTTTGAAGTTGCGATACTGAAATATTGTATTATATCTATAAACTTGCTGGAGAAAAGTAAGACTTCAAGAGTGATAGAGCTGTGTAGAAAAGCGGTTTGACTGATTAGGAATAGTGGTTTAGCAAAAACATTTTGTTTAAGATTGTAAACAGCATAACTTTAGACTGATTCTATTATCGTTTTACCGCAGTGCTTGAAACAACGTTTGTTTATTGTACAATGTTATTAAATAAGTTTGCGTGACATGAAACCGTTTTTTAATATCTTTATGCTCAGGCTTTTATGGTGCGCCATGTGTAATGTATGTACGTAGATAAGTTACCGTCTGGTTATTGATTTTACTCAGTTTTATCTTTGTTATGTACCTACTACTCGACCTCCAACCGAAGCTGGATTAAATAATCTTATTATTATTTGTCCCTTGGGTTCCTAGTGGAACAATGGGGCTTCAATATCACTTTGGCATTGCACTCTGTTCCCTGAGGTCTTTTCAACATGGCTCCACGACAGCCCACAAGCCTTGATTTCTTCCTCACACAATCTGCATGTCACCCTCGCCTCGGATGCCCTACTCGTCGTTTCCCATTTGGGTTCCACTTGACAGCCTGGCCTGGCCTGACCTGGCGTGTGATGTCCCCGAACGGTATTCTCAATGTATGTCCAATTCAATCCAATCCAATTTATCTCCACTTTCTTCTTCTGTACATTTGTTTGGCGATGAGTTCTTGGTTGGTTCTTTGCCAGCCGAAGTGAGTTGGTTGTTGCTTATTCCTATTATTCTGGCCATCTGATCTTCTGTGTCATTATCGAGTGAGCGTAGGTGGCATCTGTTGATGTGATGTGTGTCTGCAGTTTGTTGGAAATGCTTTACGTAACGGGCCAAGTCTGTCAACCATCACATAGAAGCACTAACTTACTTGACTGACATTAGTGTTGAAAATCCAGATCTTGTTCTTTATGCTGAAAGCAATGCAATGCAATGCAATGCAATGCAATGCAGTGCAGTGCAGTGTAGTAGATCTCCACACTGATTTCAGGTTATTGAAGGAAGGCGTGTCTTGGTGTCTTTCCAATCCTGTCTTTGACGTCGTCATCTGTGCCGCCACTGTCGTCGTCGTCGTCGCCGCCTGTAGTTGAGACGATGCTGCCTAGGTTGGTAGATGAAAGAGACAACTTCGTTTAGATTTCTCCCGTTGATGGTGATTGATACTTGTTGTTGATGTTGTTTGAGTATCGTCACCACCTTTGTCTTCTCTACGTTCACCTGGAGGAAGTACCGTCTTCGCTGCCTCGCCTCCTTTGTCAACTTGTTAGTTATTGCCTGTAGATCTTCGAGCTTGTGCGATAAGACAGTAGACATAAATCATCATCGGTGGCGAAATCCAAATCTTCTGGGATGTATTCATCGATCCAGCCAGCGTATGTCCATCTTCTCGCTGGTCACAGTTTGTTTCATGATCCAGTTGAGCTCAATCGGGAAGATGATCGGTGATAGTAGGCGGGAGCATTGTCTTACTGTCTCCTGTTTTCACTTCGGAGATATCACCGAGCTTTCTATTTTGAGTCATTTGGTATGTAGCATCATGTAGCATATAGCTGTTGAATGAGGTTGATAAAGGTTTGTGGTACTAAAACCGGAGTGTTGGAGCAGCTGGCTGCGAAATTACTTCTCGATCGATGCTGTCGAAGTCCTTTTCGAAGTCGATGAAGTTGAGGTAGAGAGTTGACTTCCCTTGTATGCTCGTGGCATTCTTGATAGGTTCACACATTATGCGAACATTCCATACCCCTCTGTTTTCTTTCGCTTTTATCGGGAGAAGACACATCTACCAATTGGTTTCCGATGGCTTTCACCAACTGTGTCATTTCGTCTCCCCGATTCCAGCGAGGAACAAGTTTAATTTTATGTTATATATTTTCTTTGTGGTTTGAAGTTTCTTTAGCGATTGAATTGGTTTTACTGGGTGTGATTGCTAGCCGTATGCCTAACCTCCTCTCTTTATTCGGGCTTAGGACCGTCTGGTAACTAGTGAATTAGTTAACTAGGCGAGGTCTAACTTAAACTACTGAACTTCTAGCGATATTCTGTTTAATCTGTCCGTTGGGTAAGTATGTTTAGTTCCACTCTGTATGGCAGGATTCAGAATACGTCTATTTTAGATCATGTATATAATTATCAAAACCAGTGTAGTATGGAAATCAAGCGGCGAGTCACCGAAAATGATATACACACGTTATGAGGGTAGACAGAAGGAAATAGATAAAGAATAACAGAAATATAGTTTCACATGTTTTGAATCACCGTTTATTTTCCTTACGTCACTCAAAAAGACTTGAGAAGATTATAACATCATGATGCTTGTCTCGATTCTGAGCCATATTCCAGTTTATAACTCCCTCGAACGTGTGGTTTTTGAATCTAGTTTCACTTAACGAGACAAAAGAGCTACAACATTGGGTGAGTTTTCATGGGTACTAGTGACCAGGATATTTTTATGTGAACAACTTTTTCCTCCCAGGTTCTACAACCTATCTGAATCACTGATTTGAGATCAAAGTTTTCCGATCCATGAACCTTCCATATCCATATACGTGGTGATGATAACCGCAGGTCATAACTCCCACCAGGTAAAAGGCTGTAAATTAAGACATTGTTGAGACTAGCTGTGGGTAACTATCAATAATAAATTTATTCCTGAAGAAGAGCGAGCTCCGCTCCCCGTCAACCTTACTAGGATATCAAAGAGGGGGGTTAAACCTATTTGGCATGAAAGTTTTATTTTCATCAACAAAAGAATCGTAGAGTTTTCTGGGTAATATGAACAATTGAGCACATACATATTTTATTTATTAGTCGTCTTGTCATTAAGACTGCTGACTGCGTGGATTACTATCGCGTTTTACTACTCTTTTTGAATATGTATACTTAGTTAGTTCAATAATGTAAATACGCTTTTTTCGCATAACAATGGAAACTGAAGTAATAGTTTTGTTACTGTGGCATCTTTTTTTCTGTTTCAGGTCGATGATCGAGACTCTGTTGTCGATACTACCGTTAGAGAACACAGACCTAGCGATGGGTCTGCTCAATTCACACCACCTTTGAATAATGACTTACAGCTCACAAATATTGACGTAGCAAGTTCGCCTAGTACAACACAAATATTCAGTAGACAACATATAACAAGGCGTTCATACTCTGAAAAGGCATATTTCAAAGTAGATGATACAGTGTCTCCAAATGAGCAGTTTATTGCACCGGTCTTGTTAACTTTACAACAAAGACCTAGTATAACACGACCACCAAGTGGTGATTCTATGATCAGCTTAGTACATGAAAATAGTCCAGAAAATGAAACTAAGTCAAAAGATCTTGTCCGTCATCAAGAATAAGGGATGATAACTACTATTTCTACTACTACTACTAATACCGCATGAAGATTTACCGGTTTCTTGTTCTTTCGCCTTTATCTCCCTTTATTCACCTGTCTTTGTATTTGCATAATATTAACTTTCCTATTTTTATGTCTCATTTGCTGAAATGCATATTACTGTATACTGTATCCAATGCTTACCACTAGAATCTGTTATTACGTTTCTTTATTGTACTATCTGTCGGTTTGTATCTGTCTTTTTCTGCCTTGCTTTTCAGATTCGTTTTGCGTTCAACATCACAATATTTTTTATTTACTTGCATTCTATGAATTAATCTCTGATTTGTGTTGTTGTTGTTTTGTTTGCGCTTATCGTCAGCTGAATGAACATAGTGGTGATTTTGTTTTTCATATGTCTAAACGGAATTTCAAATAATACTTGAAAACACAAATGATTTGTGTCGCTTTTTTACTACTGTTGCTATGTATGGCACTATTATTAATAATAATAATATTATTCAAGTGTACACGAGTCTAGGTGTTGATTACAATAGGCATTCGTATACTTTTCCTTTTAATGTGAGCATTTGTTTTAATTTCTGACATTTAATATTTTCAATTGATGATGAAGTTTTGACAGATGGTCTAATTCCTTTGTCATGTGGTATGCATGTCGTTTACGTCACTTATCTTTGCTATTCTTTTAGTTGAACTTAAAGTTTGTGTAGTCATCTTGACTATCATGGTTTCTTTTCAACCAGAGGTTTTTTGCTATTTTAGATAGTTTATAATATTGTTAAATAAAGGAAGATTTTTAATGTGATGAACATTTAGAACTGAATATCATATAGTGAAAGCTTTTGGTTTTTCGTTCTTGATATTTATGCGTAATTCACAACAATTACTGGCAATAAGTACGTCTTATCCTTCAAAAGATTGGTCAAAAGAGACAAGCTAATGTAGTCGATCTGAAGGTTTTAATTTCTTATCAGACAGTTACAAATGGATTGGTTAGACAAGTCCCGTGTTGAATTATTATACCCCTAAATACTTTCATTTTCGTTGATAAGCGACTAACAATTAATTTCGTATCTCGACACTAGTACCTTCCAGGAATTCAAAGGCGTTTTACTATCGTCTGACTTAATTCTTAGAACTGCTTTTTTCTTGGGATGTTAGAAATTTAAGAATTGTCTTTATTCTAAGTTGGTATTCATTATGGACTGATGTCATTTAGAGAACTATTGAAAAAATGGAACCACTTAACAGCTGTTTCGTCGTAGTATGGAACTTTGGGATGAAATTTCCTGCAGTTCTAATGAGAGGTCGTAACTGGTAAGGCTAAGCAAGTCGGACGTGAGGACAGGTACTCAACGACGGCATCGGATGAAGTTCGCGCTATATCGTCAACTGACAGAAGTACGAATATGTGGACCATAGGATTGCGACTCAGCAGTGACATACTAGTTACGCAATCTGAAAGTCTTGGATTCGGTCCCTAACAGGGTTGTGGTTGCGCACGAAGAAGCTATCGAGACCTCCCATATCCAACTGATATCAGTCCTTGGTGAGTAAGATCTTTACAAACTTCAAGATTGAATTATCTTTACGTCAAACCAATACTACGAGGATAAACAAATGAAACAGATAAATGCTATTCGTATAGGCTGTTAAAATCCTGGGTATGTTTGAACACATTCTGCAAGGTTTCTCAAAGATTCTTCACTAATTCATAGCCATTCAGTAGGCTGCTAGGTATTCTACTTCATTATAAGAAACATTGTTATTCATCGCAGCTTACTTCAGTCTATACTGTCCTTATGTGACTTGATGATTTCCTTTATTCTAGAACTCAAGTGTTTTTAAGTTTGTTTTTATGAATGTATTCAGAATAGGACTTGTAATAAAAAAAGAGTTGAACTGTTTTTTTCTTTTTGTTCCAGTAAAATTCCAATAAAGCAAAAGTAATAGACTGAATACAGCTATATCAATTCTTGCTGTTTGTATACATTTTCTCAAATAGTTATAGCCCCTGCCACTTAAAATATCAATGCACGAAATATTTTCACTCACCTTATGAAGAATTGAACGAATAAATGAAGAAAGTCGAACTAAATTGATGCAGTTGAGTGCAACCTCATTTTAATTATTGCTGAAACCATTCAAGATTATAGTCTCATCAAAGATCAATCAGTTGCTTCTCCTCGAGAAAACCTGGTTATTGGCTAGTGTGAAGAGAAACGGACAGTAACGTATCACTCATTGATAGGACAGCCAAAGGAAACCCTAAGTGATAGAAGTTGAATTGAGACTTGGTCAGTAGCTTGGTCTCATTACTCGGCTTCTCGTGAGCCCGACTGATAATCGTGAAGTCTGCTTCTTCAAATCCTAGCGAAACGTGATATTTTGTTTCAACGTTTTTACTGGACAACATTTTGAAAAGTATATGGTAACTGTGCTGCTCTGAGAACCGATTTTGCTGGTTTCAGTCTTTTCGCTTCCTTTGTTTGTAGGATTAGTGAGAATGTTTATACATATGAAACAATTCTTGATTCTTTTCCGTCATACAATTTGACTTTACTTCAATAAAAAGGCTAAAGACACTAGTCCCTCTTTCAACCTTTATAAAGCTTACTCAAGTTAAAAGTACTATTGCGTCTTTGAAATTTGACGTACTAATTACGATATGATAACTTTGAACTCGAGGGTTTATTCACATACAAGATCATAAAAATCCAACTAAATGTAGGATTATGGATCCCAAGAATATAAAGGATCAAATAAAAGCTTAGTTATTACATATCATTTTGTTCGTCCCTGGTAGGGAGGGAACAAGAGGATAGTTTTGAAAGCTAATTTATGTGGATTGAGGTAGGGATTGGTAACAAAAGTTTTGCTTATTTAATCAATACCCAAAGTGAACATCATTAATTCAATGCTTATCATGGATATCTGAAGAATGCTACTAGCCTTTCTAAGTAAGGAAAGACTTAGAATTATGAAAACCAAGTCTCAAAGTTCAGTGACCATGACTAATAAATTGTAACTGAGACTTGATTTCTCTAGAAAGTGAACTCAAATTAAACCAACTCATCAAAAGCCAGTGCTTACAGATGAATTTATGGACCGAAATCAACTAGTCAGATAGGAGAAAAGCGTTAAAATTAGGGATGCAAAATTTACAACCGGATGCGTATAAAATCAACTCACCACTGCTTTAAGGTACAACTTAGAAAATGAAACTCCTACATCTACACGATCTTTGACAACCGAAATTGGTCACTTTACGGTAGAAAATTCCAGAGATAATATGAAAACTCAATAATATTTGATAGGGATTTGTTTGCTGTAGAAAGTAAATATTAGCAGTAATCATTGAACGGAGAGAGGATTCAAGGTGTTATTCGTATGATTTAGATTACCACTGAATTATCTGATATCAAACTTTTACAAGTTAGCTAATAAATCAAATAGTTTATTAAATTATTGATAAAACAGCAGTTGTTGGTCCTTCTGAATGCTAAGATTCCCACGTTACAACAATATCTTCGTTGGATTTGTTTCTTTTCACTGGGACTTGGTAGCAACCTTTCCGAAATCTGCTCTTGTGGTGCTGGTTACATAGGCTGCACAAAGCGTGTTCTATCCAGACGCATCTCCGCACACTATTGTGCATGTGCTGTTTAAAGCTGTCAACAGCTCGATTCTTGAGCATTCGGTTATATCCGGTCACTATGCTCCACGAGAGTCCTCTTTCAAAGTCAATTATAAAGTAAAGGCAAGTATTTCTAAGTGAGTGCGTATTCCCCACCCCATTATAGCAGAAGCTTTTGCAATGCAACAATACGAGCCCGTTCTTTGTGTTCAAAAACGATAAATTCAGTCTCTAATTTTGCCTTGGTCGTAATCTCCCTAAAGTAGTTGATTCATTTCTTTGTATTTTTGCAATTATCCTATGAGCAATCTTCGGTGACCTTGACCTTCTAGCCATCATCACTTTGTGACCACCATTTTTGATGACATTGTATTGACCGGTATGACATCGTTGGATCTATATATTTTTTTATAATTATGATTACGATGTACAGCTTTTGAAAATGATTCGTCGAAAAGAAAATTTTTCTTTGCTGAATTGTCTTTTATTAACTTTCTGAAACCCTCATTACGTCTTCATTTTAATATGACCTGGTTAACACCATCGATCTTTCTGTTTGTATTATCTATAGTAATTCGTTTTGGTAATAAGTAATGATAAGGAATCATTATTGACTGTTTGATTTTGTAATATTTACTAAGGAAACATGGTATACTCACATAAATATGTTTCATGGAGCTTTTTGATTGGATATCTGGAATTATTATAAGGATTGTATCACAGTTTTTATCTGAAGAATCCGAAGCAATTTTGGCTGAGACTTAAAGGAAACCTGATTAACAGCAGCATTCAACCATTTGGTTAGCCTAATACCTTCAAGATAACTCAACTAAGAAAGCAAACTCCTAACTAGGCAATAGTTTCGAACTAACGGCCATCGTATTCTCCACAGTTTGTTGTCTTTGATTTGATAAAATTTGTGAAGTGAGATGATTGCATAAAATGCCCATCTGAATGAACTGACTAGTTTTTTTTTATCACTTAGAGTCACATAATTGTCGATTCTTCATCACAGAGTCGAATTCAGCTGGAGATATTCAATGAAAAAATGGTTGGTAATTCACTAATCTTAAGTATTTCAATTTTGGAGGTTTGTGGGGGATTTTACTGATTTCTAGTTGATATTCATTATGGACTGACATCAGTTGCAGAGCCAATGAAAGCCTGGGAGTACCGAGCAGTTGTTTTTTCTCAGTATGGGACTCAGCATGGTGCACCAGTGACCTCTTCTCGCTAGAGGTCGGACGCAGGAGGTTAGGATTCTGCACCCAGCACGTTACCGCTGAGCTGGAGTTTATTGTTCCACGTATTCCTACATCTATCAGTCAGCGTTACAGCGCAGCTTTGAATATCGTTGTTGAGTATGTGTCCTCATGTCAAACTAAGTTTACCCCACTGCTCATGACCTTTCATTAGAGCTTCGGAAAATTTCATCTTGGAGGAAGTCACTAGTTAGCACTAGACAGTAGTTCAGTTTTGGAGGTTTGAGGAAATCTGGAGTATCCGTGACCCATAGAATCCTTATGAAACTGAGATTTTATAAGGAGGTATCAGAGTGTCATTTTGTCACATGAAGGTTAATGCTGTAACAGTCAACTCCAGTTATGATTATCGTCATACAGACCACAGTTGTTACGAATATCCTAGAAAACGTCGAGTGCCGAGTCTGTTTGAATCATTATAAGCATACATTTAAACACAATTCCAGCACGTTTAGAAAATCAAAACCGTAGTGTTGAAGCAGATAGCTGTCAAATTACTTCTCGGTCAACGCTGTTGAAAGCCCTTTCAAAGTCGATGAAGTTGAGGTGGAGAGTTGACTGCCATTCTACATTCTATTGTATGATGATGCGTAGCGTATTGTTGCAATTTGATCCCCACATGATTTTTTCTTCCTGATGCTAGCCAGCCAGCCTGTTTCGTTCGTAGTCTTGATTCGAGCGCATGCTTCAGTCTTTCCAAGATGATGCGGCTTAATACTTCGTTTGGGGTGGACAGGGGTGGAGCATGATTCCGTGCCAGTCCTTGCAATGATTTAGGTCTCCCTTCTTTGAAGGTTTGACAAGGCAGCCCTTCTTCTAACCAGTGAGCAGATATATTTTCTTCCTTCCAAACCTTCTGTAATAGTGGTGTGAGTATGTCCGGTTTCAGTGCTTCTGGAGGAATTCCATCTAGTCTTGCTGCTGTCTTGATTTTCAGCAACTACATGGCGTTCAGGACTAAACTTCTGCTTTTGTCGGAGGGCCTGTGTTCA